CGCTTCACAGGCCGCGCGCCTCGGGGGGGGCGTGTCTCGTCCCGGGTCTCCCGCGGGGCGGGGGGGTGGGGGGGGGTGGGGATCGTGTTGACAGCTCGAATTTTTTTCCTATACTGCAAAACTTATTTTATAAAATACTGTGAATGATAATAAATTCATAGAAGAAAATATGAATGATGGTTTACACTATCGGAACGCTCTCTCAATGTATTATGGTCAACAATCTGTATCGGCACAACATACTTGGCTTAGATATCCTATTCAAATATACTTCTCACTTGAAAGAAACGACGTAGGATCATCTATAAAAGTCATCCAATAGAACTATCAGACTTTTTGAACTAGCTATTGTCACGTGTCTATTTTTCTAATACCTTTCGTTTCTCTAGTTGCAAGGTTCTCTCAATAAAGAAGTGTAAAAGTTCGAGATAAGAATTTTATGAAGAACAGATATATGAATATAAAATTTCACCTGAATCGACGATGCATCAGTTGGCGAAGGGAAGTCATGCGCACAAATATATAGAAACAGAAACAATCCAGTTCCAATAACTTGTCATCAAGATATATACTCAAATAATGTAGCCATCTACTCTGTGTACTCTATTGGTCATTCTGTGATGGATTCATCTATTATTATATGTACCATAGAAGATTGCACAGAAACTTTCTTTCTCATCTTTACTAAACTAATAGATGATGTATAAATAATGGCCCTGTTTAGTACTTTGATCATAAATGTTTTTCTTTTCAAACTTTAAAGCGACTTGTTTTGACAAAAGATACGCTATTAAATTCTATACAAAACTCAAGCTAAATCAATTTTAGACAAAGCAAATAAGAAAAGTTAAATTAAATAACACTCGACAGATATTCTTCGATTAACTTTCTAGGCTGTTTTGCTCTTTAAACAATAAAAAATGAAGATGTTTTGAATACTTGAACATTTGTTCTTTCTCATTGTGGCATTTACGGATGTTTTGAATCAAAATTGGCGATTGAAAATTTGAATTTTATTAAAAATCAAATCACAACACTCACAAAAATGTAGTTCTTCACCAGGTGAATTTAAGAAGCAGCGTTTGTCAAATATTCGTTGTTCAATTCAATACAATAGCTATTTCTCATCAAAATGAAAAATGAAGTTCAAAACATGGTATTCTACCGTCATTTTGCATCGTTTCTTAAGAATAATACAATTAAAGACTTACACATCTGAACTTTTGGACGTCTAAGGGATAAAAATACCGGTGTGGGTGGGCGTGGATATTACCGAAGAGAATACTAACACACACATTCTACACTCTCCTTATCTGTTGTGAAACGATCACTCAGTTAATAGAATGTCAATATGTATATATATATATACGATTATCAATCGTATGCATATTTTACCAATATCTAGACAGCAAGATTTAGTGTTTCGCTTTATTGTTCCAATGTTTTAGTATCATTTGATAGGTTTCTATGAGACATATCTATTGGTGTACAATGTAACGTGGCCCAATATGTTGCAGGATACAACAGACGTTGCACCATGACTCCACTTCACTTACTATTTACCGGTTACATAGATATTTTTCCAGTATTTCGAGAAAATAATATGTCCTATCACTTTTGCTATGGGTATTTTATCTTATTTGATAGATCTCATTGATATATATTGGTTGATAAAGAGTAAACAGTGAGGAGGTATATTCCAGACAACAACAACGTCTATAGTATGATCTCAACATATATAATGCTATGGATTTTATAAGCCGATATATATATTACTATCGTTATTAGACTCTTACAAGATTAGTTAAAATATTTGATAGATGTTTGAATTGACTCAGTTTTTTATATTGAACATGAATCTGATATATAATTTCAACTTTGATATCTGTTAGTCAAGTCAAAAGTAAGAAAAAAAAAGCTTCTAAGAATCTTTTTTTATAACACATGGATAATAGTACTCTTTTTATTTAAATATCTAAAAGAAATGGTTGAAAATTGAGACCAAATTTTGTATTTCGACTTTTATTCTCAATAAAAAGAGGCGATCAAATAAGATCTTAAATAGAATTTTGTGAAGCACAATGTGCGCTGTCGAATAGTATATAACACTTGTAGAATTGATCAAGTTTTGGTGAATATAAGAGATAGAAAAGAAAACTGAGAAACAATTATCAATTTTAATAGATTCAATGATGATGATTCACTTGTTTCCTTTATCTCTTCACAATCATGTTGACATTTGCCTCTAACATTTTGGCTTTTGTATATATACACACTATGACCTTTTGAAACTAAATATCAAAGATCAAAATCCAAAATATACCTTCAAACGGTCTCTATGCATTCGGGCGATTCTCTGGCGAAGTGTCTCATAAAATTTGATCATTGACAATAAAGAATCCTGATTTTAAATAGTTCGAAGTAATTGAAAGTGAAGATTCATTTGACATTCATATATCTGAGTTTCTAACAAATCACTTTGAACAATTTATGAAAGATAACAACAAGCAGTTTTTCTTCACATTAATTCTCGATATTGTTGATCGAAAATTTGAATCTATGAATAAATTTCGTTTTTAAAAATGAGAGAATTTGCAAAATTAAATATTTCAGAATGGGACATACCAAAAAACGTTACTACTTGTCCAATGAATTAATCTTATTGAGAACTTTGTTCATACAAAGTTTGAGATTGAAACTCGAAAGTGAACTTTTTACGTTATCTGAAGAAGATCATAATTTGTGTTTGAAAACATCCAGTAGAACTTCGGTATCTCAAGAATGAAAGTCTGTAAGAGCAAACCATTCTAGACTTTCCTATTATTCACTAGTACTCATCAAATGAACATCGTGTGAATAGAAATACCATTTGACAACTGGAGAGATCTTTTCTCAAGCCATTAATAACTTTTTCGCATTTTGAATATGACAGATTTCAAACGAAATACAAAATCCACCAATAGAGTACTCTGTACAACGTTATGTCGAACTTTTTGAAGAAAATTCTAAACACACATTCGGAAAAAACGAAAAAGTCTGATTCTAGCTAATTGTTTTTCACTCTAACCAATTGACTTTAAGTGGCCGAAAAATGAGTGAATAGTTTGTGTCAAGACTTTCGCACCATAAATCACATTCTCAATAGTAATGCTAAATATTTTCATATCAAGATTTTTAACCGTTCTAATCAATTAATACTCTCCAATCACATAAATAAATATATCACATTACACTGTATTTTATTTCTAACACATTTAGATACAAACATGTGTATAGGGAGTTTTTAATTAATCGTTGTTTCCTTGATATTTTCAATCTTATTATTAACAAAATATCTCCAACTCATAATTACTCAACACTTAAAATTATTTAACACAGAGATTATGTTATATAGCTTGGTGAAAAGTCGAACAGAATAAGTTCAGCTTTAAGAATGACTAGAAATCTGTTATAATTGATCTATTTATCGATCGCATAATTACCATATTGCTCGAACTATATTTTTGAAAAATAAATAAGAAAAAAAGAACTTAAAATAAAACACAATCATTCTTTGTCTTGTTCTTCTTCATCTTCGTTATCATCATTGCCAGCCACATCATCTGCCGGCACAATTATAGCAGCAGCAGCTGCTGCTGCTGCGCTATCAATATCATCTTCCACTACATTAGGCAGCACCATCTTTTTATCTTTTATCCATTGAGGATAATTTTTACAGGCATTATGGGTTAATTTTGCATAAAATGGAATACCAAACTAGAATATATGTATTCAATAAAAAAAAATCATTCATAAAAATAAATTTTATACAAACTTTAGCGACCCAAGACCATGCTGCTTTTGGAAAACTACCTCGTGGATCTTCACAATACAAGAAAATCGCTAAATGAAAACAAATAATAAACTATTTTAATCATTCATTTTTTTATTGAAAAATATCAAATATACATTTCAAACCATTCGCACCATCCGAACAAATTAATGTTTCTGATTGGCAATTTTCAATTCGAATAATTTTTTTTCTTACTGGTTCATTTTTAAATTCTTCACTATGTGTTAAAACATAATAAAAATGTCGATTACCAATATCGTATTCATTATTTTCTTGTACGAATGTATACTATAATATAAATCATTAGAAGTAGAAAAAAATTAAGAAAAATAACTATGAAAACTGTAAAATGAAAAACTATAAATTGAATTATAATACAAAAAGAAAAAGCATACATCTCTATTGCTTATAAATAACGGCATAGCAATTTGCCAATAAACACCATGTTTATCTCCATCACTAATTTTTCTTCCTTCTACAAAAGATTTTTATTGTAAGACTATAAAAAATGATGATAAATATTACCTTTAAGATATTTATCCCAAACTACTCGATATTCAACATCAAGTGCTACTTTATAAAAAGTTTCTGGTAATACATCCGGAAGATGAGAAAAACATTTATAATAAAATAATTTCTAAAAAAACAAAATGATTATAATCATAATTGATTTTTAGAATTGAAAAACAAACTTTATTTAATCGTCGATAGACAGTTAAAGTTGGTATTTGTGAAAATAATTTCCAACCAGTTAAATTAGGTGTATCAAATTCTCGAACAAAGTCTTCTACACTTAAATATGGGTCCATTTTTCAAAAGAGAAATGTTTCTTTGGTTTTCGAAAAATGATTTTATCTTTTCTTATCTCATTATTATTATTCTGTTTTTTACTGATATCAAATGTTTTTCTTTATATTCAGTGTTGATAACCAGTGGTGTACTGAAGCAGCCAACAGTGGAGGATTATCACGATTTTTTGTAAACGGATAATATCTTTCTTCGAAAAGAATGGAAAAATAAAATTTTAGCTCTGCCGAAAAGAAGATATAAGTTTTCCCCCATTAATTAAGTGGGGGAGTGTACCCTCCCGACCCCCCCCCCCCCCCCCGATCAGGTCACCACTGTTGATAATAGTCTTCAAAAATGCACATTAATATTAAATATAAAGAGTGCCCCATAATAAATAAGGAGAAACTGTCAACGACATTTTGCATAGTTTTTCTTAATATAGGATCATATATGATTCATAACATTAAATTAATTTTAAATTAGATTGTATCTCTGTTCATGTAACTGTCACTAATGTAAAGGAAGAAAATTTCTGAAATTTTTGGTAGTTGGAGCTAAAAACGTTTTACTCTGCAAATATCTACCCTGTATTCCTTCATATGCTCCTATACGATTTTGAGAATTTCTCTTACTCAAGAGATAAAAGAAAAATATAGTCAGTTTCACTTTGTAATATTGATTTTCGCTTAAAGAAAAATAATAACAGAACTTGTAGTAGAGACCGAAGTACCAGCTCTCTTTTTACTATTATTTTTTTTTGGTTCATAGACACGATCAAAGAGAAAAGCGTCATATTATTTCTCTTTATCATAATAGCGAACAAAAAAACATAAATTGAAAGAGACTGGTACTTATTTCAATTATAATAAAAACTCAAGAATCATATTGAATACCTGACAGAAATAATGACTAATATTCATGAAAAACGATAATATTAGTGCATAATAATATAAAAGTGACATACGAAATGAATCGAAATAATCGATCATTGATAAGAAATAGAAGAATTTAAACAAAATAGTGTTGTTATGCAGAACTGGGCAAGTCAGGTGTTTTTTAAGTCATAAGTCAAGTAAGACTTGAGGCATTTTTGACTCGACCTGCCCAGCTCTGTTTGTATGACATACATTTCCGTCATTTTGTAACCAACAAAGACATATTTGATACTGTTTATTTTCTTATGGTTTTGTTTATTTTTGCTTTTTAATAAATACCTTAAGCTATCAAAAACTGTCTCATCTTCCTGTAAACATTGCTATATTTCAGAAGTACAGAACTATTCTTTTTCTCTTCTTGATATATCATTTTTACATATTTTCTTTTTCGAAAATTTTCTCCATTCTTGTATTTCCTCTTCTTCTAATTGTAACTAGATATCGAACATTTTCCCACCAAATTTTTCTTTCAGTACATTCCACATATTTTTAGTTCTTCATAGACTAGTGAATTTATTATAGCTACTCTACTGATTGTATTTGTTCATTAAATAATTTGTACTACAAACTGTACTAGCTAATACTCTATGTTATTTTCAGGCAATTAATATTCAATACAAACCACTTACGATGTTTTTTTCATTTTCGTAAATGATGAATATTTAAGATAAAAAGTTGTTATTAACTCTAAAAGACTTCATATATAAATTTTCCAGGAAGTAACGCTGTGATTTCAAATAAAATCAACAATAAAATGTTTTATATCAAGAAAGTTTCTAAAATTTTATGGTGTATCAGCAGAAAAAAATTCTTTTCATGAGAAAGTCATTTAGTATTGATAAATCCTATTTTTGACGTGCGATTTAATTCGATATAAAATTTGTTATTGTTGATTCTATTTGAAATCAGTGTTATCCCCATGGAAAAACATATTTATCCGTGCTGTGGGACAAAAATTTAATACAATAATTCATGTATGTTTATCTTATCTATGCATTTCAGCATTAGTTTTAGCTAATGGACTGAAACTTTTGGGAAAAACAAAATCTTGGTTAGATATATGTGAATGTAGCAAAAATTTCAGTCTTCCATGTCAAAAAATGTATGTAAAATGTCAACGATATTTTATCCTTTGTTATTATGTTCACTCTTGATATCATAGTGTGCGATATAAACATATGATACGAAATAGTCGTTGTAACTATGTCTATTAGTCTTTTTTTTTCTGGGAAAATGAGTGATGATAACTTTTTTGTTTATATAATGTGATTTGTTAAATTTATTTTGGATACTCAAAAAGAAAAGATAACCGTGCAATTGAATGATTTATACTCGATGAGATTACTTTAATGGCAATATATTCTCAAGTATTGATCGATCTATTAACATATTCTTGAATAATAATTAATCGAGAAAATATTCTAAAAACTAAAGACATATGAAACATAAATAAGTTTATCATGTCCAACTGAATTGACTATATGTACTTAAGGTATACCAAAAGTAGATGCAATAGTACGCTAATTTCTTTTGAAAAGCTTCAAGAAATTTTTTTCTGTATTGATTGATAGTAAAAACGACGCTTGATTTTTTCCTATGCTATTGTATCATTCTTCAACTAGTATCATAATAATAAAGTTTCAATAAATCCTCTTTGGCTATCATATGTAACGATTATATTATTTTATATTATCTTCAATGTGTATTGTCTTCTTGATTTTCTCTTTGTTCTTTTTTTTTTCTTTTCTGTATTCTTCTTTTTTGTTTCTTCTCATGCCTAATTGCCTACATAAATATATATAAATAACGACGCATGTCTTGTTTGTTTTGTTTGCATCTGTAGTCTATTAGCAGCGTACTATCAAGAAAGCTAAAGAAATAAAGTTAGGCTAAGCCTTGACACCGTTCATCTCTGTTTTAGATGAATAAGAAAAATTTCCACTTCTACATTAAAGTTCACACTGCATTTCATATTCAAGCAAGTATTATTCATGATGAACTATGTTCTGTTTGTGATGACGAAGTTCCTTGTCGTCGTAGGATAGTTGAAAGATGATCTAAAATGTTTCATGAAAGTTGATAAGAGTTTGAAAAAAAAATTATAGACTACTTGGTTCTGCATTTCATTTTGTTCCGCCGTGACTACTTATTTTATACCGTAATATATATAGATAACTACGCCTTGGAGGAAAGGAAAAAAAGAATAAAGAAAAGCGAGACGAAGAACAAAAAGAAAATAAAGAGGAGAATACATATATCGAAGACAATATGAAATAATATGATCGTCACACATGATAGCCTAATTGGTCTTATTGAAATCCAGTATTACAATATTCATTAAACAATGATATAATAATACAGAAAAATAGAGTGTGGTTTGTATTATCTGTCAATATAGAAAAAAAATTTCTTTAAGTTTTTTTTATAAGGAATTAAAGTATCACTGTCACTCTTTTTTGGTATGCAGTAAGTAATTCAATAATAGGTTAAATTATCAATACTTTAATAATACGAAAAATTTTCGAGATCGAATCTGTAACATTATCGTTAATGACATATAAATAAAACACTTTGTTATTTTTATTTGTATATATTGAAGTTTATGATCCTCTAGTAGTATACGAAAAACAAATAGACATGACCAATTAAGAAAGCTTGTTTTGACATTTCTTCTTCATATTAATCGAAATGTTAATTAATATTATTTACACGTAGTTATCGAATTTTTCTTTTCTCTTCTTATTCGAGAATGTAGAAAGAATGGCACTTCTTATATTTATGGAAATGAATAGCTTTTTTTTTCTTTTTTGTGTTGAATCATTGAATTTTCGTTGATTTTCATATTAACTTTATAATTCAAAATGTAAGTTATTCAATACTTCAACAAGAATTAAAATAGAAGCATGTTAGTTTAAATTTCAAAAGAATTATTGTACAACTAATGTATAAAATGAAATCATAAGATAATTTCATGACAACCATTAAATGAAGTCTTAAAAGAACTAGTACAATATGCTTCACCGACAGAAACAAATGACTTATGGCATCATGAAGTGTTGCATCTATACTTCTGTTGCATATGTCATAAACATTCTGGTACTACTCTCAAATTGCCCGATTTACTTAATGCGGTGGTTCTGAATGATTGAGATCAACAGCCCACTAGGGATACTTTTCTTGCAACATAGCTAAATGTCGAATGTATCAATGTCTTGCCATTTATTTAACATCATTATTCCTTTTTCTCTTTTTATCTTTCCGTCAGTCTTACCCTCGATCTGTCAATATATATATATATACATATACACTTAAGATATAGATAGATACGATTCATTTATTTGAAGCAAAATTGACACTCGAAGCATTAGAGCAATAAATGAAGTTTTTACATTTTTACGTTTTTACTTTTTTTGATTTTGACAAATTGATCATCAAAAAGTAAAAAGATCTATTGATTCATTGACAACGACAAACAAAAAAAGAAAGTTTGCTTTTTCTTTTCTCTCTCTGTTTTTCTTTTTGTTCTATACGAATTTCTTTGTCAGCTTTTTATGTAAGTATTAGATAAAAAAAAGTAATGCATGTCTGTTCACTGTCAAACTTCACGTTTTTTTACTCGATATGAAATATATATATTTATACTGATAAAACACAAGAAAAATAATGAAATTCAATTGATTTTGACATCTTGAATACATATGGTGAATATGGTTATTTTATTTAGAGAATTCAAAACCTTCAAATACATAAGAATCGACACTTTATACAACCATATCGAAAGAATACGAAAAAAAAAGAAGTGCATCCGAGCAACGTCATTATATATATTTAAAATTATTACATGGCTGCCAATAATATAGACACTTATTGATAACCAACACCGTGAGTCTTTTATCCAAATAACGATAAGAAAGAAAAACACAAGGCAAAGAAAAATAAATATATTTAAACCTGGCGTGGATATTAATATCTATTTCATTCAAGCTTTAAACTTGTAATCTATGAATTATATATTATAATGGGTTGTCGAAGTAAAGTTGAATTAACTGTTTGCCAAATCGTTTTCTTAATATCGCTTTGTATTATCGCTATTCTTATTGCCGTAATCGGTTGGTTTCGTGGAATTGATCCACCAGGGGATAACATATCGGTATCATCTAACTATCTTAAAAATGTCACGCCAATTGCTCGTAGCCACATACGGACAATGCCATATCTTGATAATATCGGTTCACCTCCTCTATTAAATAATCCACATTTATATGTACAATGGACATTTCTACAAATGAATGATGTTTATGAACTTAAACCGTTAGGTGGTGGGAAAAAGGGTGGTATGGCTCGTGTAGCAACAATTAGGAAATTATTACTTCAGGAAAATCCAAATACAATTACTGTTATAGCGGGTGATATTGTTAGTCCATCAGCATTAGGTATAAAAAGAAAAACAGTATTTACTAACAAATCTTAAAAAGCAGACATGACAAATAAATAGTTTGTAGACAAGCAAAAAAAATTTCTATTCATTTTAAATTATTTAGTAAAATAGTTAAATTTTTCACATAAAAAGTGTCAAACAGAATAGACTTTCGAAGTTGAAAAATCATGTTCAGTGATAAGTACACACTTACGAGTGAACTATCCGAATTGATTCCCATGTTTGAGCTCATATTGAGTTCACAAGAAGGTCTTGATAAGACTAGAAATAACCTTAAAATGGTTCGTCCTCATTTACGTTTGGAGCCAAGTTACGACTATTTTATTGAATTTTCGATCAAACTTTAGGTATTTATCGAAAATAAAATAACGGATATTGTCACCTAAAATGTTGTCCATGGATGGGTCTAATGACTCTGAAAATATTTTGAAAGTTTCACTCAAAAAGAATGTTCCTTTGTCGAGATATTGAATTTCCAAAAGATGTTTATTTACCACAAGAATCGAGCTTACTTTAAAATTGAATATCTCGACAAAGGAATATTCTTTTCCGCTGAAGCTTTCATGATACGGCACGAGTATTAAAAATTCAATAAAACTTTCATAATTCTGTTTCAAAGATCCATAGGCACGAATTCTTTTAAGATTTTTCTTGTCCTACTGAAACATCTTTGTGAACTCCATATAAGGTCAAACGGTGAGTATCAGTTCCGGTAGTTTCCTAGTTAATAATTTAATTTTTTATTAATTCCAATTGTTACAATTTTTGGTATCACTTATGTAAAAGTTTGATCATAATCATTTATTCGATGGTCTCATTGAACTTCCTATGCTGATAATGCACAAATTTCCTTCTTTTGAAATGCTCTGTCAAATTAGAATTAATAATATCCTATAACAAAATTTTATTCTATTAATCATCTATCTATGTCATTTAGAAATATGTATAATTAGTATGAAATTCAAAATAGATTTTGTTTTCGTTTTTTACATAGGTAATAGTATGGTTAATGGAACAATGTTAAATGGTAAACAAATGATTGCCACATTAAATGTTCTTGGTCTTGATTATGCAACATTAGGTAATCATGAATTTGATTTAAAAGAAGCATCATTACGTCGTCGTTTAAATGAATCACGATTTCAATGGATAGCATCAAATGTTTATGAAGTTAATACAACACAACCATTTCATAATGTTTTACCATATAAAATATTAACAATTTCAAATATTAAAATTCTTCTTATTGGTTTAACTATAGACGATAATCTTGGACCAACATCAAATGGTCCATATGTTCATATAACATCACAACGAACATTACCAGTATTTACTGAACAATATATAAAACATCTTCGTAATGATTTAAATTTAAAATGGGATGTACTTATTTGTTTAACACATCTTAATCTACAAAATGATATTGATATAATTGAACATAATCCAAATATTCATGTAGTTATGGGTGGACATGAACATGAAAATTATTATTTAAAACGTGGATCAAAATATACACCTATATATAAAGCAGACGGTAATGCACTTTCAGTATTTATTCATCGTTTTGCATATCAACCTAAAACAAAACAATTATTAATCTTTTCTAAACTGACACAAGTAGTAGATCATTTTTCTGATGAACCACAAACAGCTCAAATAGCAAATTATTATTATGAAGCAGGTTTACAAGCTTATCGAGAGCAAGGTAATAAAAAAAACATACATTCACTTTTTCTTTTTGTGTATTTAATTAAATCTATTTATATTTTTAGGCTTTTTACCTGATCGTATAGTATGCATTTTACCACCTGGATTTACTTTTGATGGTCGTTCAACAATAATACGTTCTCAACAATCACATTTAACACGTGCATTATGTACAGCTATGATGGATGCAACTAATACAACAATATGTGTATTTAATGCAGGTGCTGTTCGTATTGATGATCAAATAATGGGTACAATAACACAATATGATATATTACGTTGTTTACCATTTGCAGCAAGTCTTATAACAATACGTATTAATGGTTCAGCACTTGTTAAAATATTAAATCGTGGTCTAATGCATATAAATACTGGTATGTTTATATCCTATTCTGGTTTAGAATATGATGCAACAAGAGAAAAATGGTATCTACGATCTAACCGACAATTACTTGATGACGAAAATTTATCATTAACTTTTGTTTCAATACCTTATTTTTTTCATAATACTGATTTAAGACATTCAGCGACGATTTTACATACACATACAACAATAACAAGAGCTTTTATTGATTACCTTGAACGAACATATCACAAGTCGAAACATCATCAGTTACTTGCATAGATCTATCATTGTATATTTATTCTGGAAAAAATTGATCAGCGATCATCAATATTATTTGATATATTTTTCCTACTAGTCAATATAAACAATTCTGTTCGTATGAACGAATATATAAATAAATAAAAATATTAGACTTGTTTGTTTGTTTGTTTTGAAAACATATAATTAGCTTTACGTCATATTTTATTCATTGTATTTTAATAAAATGAAATCTACAGCAATATTCTTTGATAAATATGATCAAAGAATAAATATTTGAAAGTTTTCCTTGGACAAATTTCAATTATCAAAATATTTTCCAAATAAATATTTAAATAATTAAAAAAAAAGGAAAAAATCTATTTTCTTTATTTAATGTGTATGCATGCATTCAGTTTAAAGAGCGTATGCACGATTTACTGTCCGTTAATTATATAAAAATTTTATTCGAACTGTAATCATTACAACAATCATTTTATTATCAGAGCAGAATTTGAATGCATTTTCTAAACCTAATATAAACACCACGTACTATTAATTATTTTGAAGGTCATCATTCTCGAATAAATTCCCCATATCCAAATATATACATTCTAATTGATTTAAGATGTGAGACTGTAGGTGTAGGTGTTGGGTTTCTCTACTTCAACACATACTCGGATTGTAGAGTTGACACCACTGATTTAAGAACTATTTCACATAAGGAACGAACGATCCCTGTAGGAGATACTCAATCAGTATTCTTCGATTCGGCTCACTTTAACATATGTGATAGAGAAAAGAGTTTGATGAATTTTGATGAAAACCGATTAAAAAGATATTGAATCCTCGATTTTTTATCGGGTTTTTTTTTACAAAAATCACTATAAAATCCTACTTTAACGAAAGGCGATTTTTGCTACCCTATACCTCAACAACAAGTCAATCGATAGAGCTGAAACTTTTTGTCAATTTACAGACCAATATGATCTGCACGTAGAAAATATCTCAAGTTGAACGATTGAATCTTTGGTATTCTATGGATTTCTCTGTTGGAGAAAAAAATCACTGTTTCAGCTAATATTGGAACTTCATATCTTCCGACTTGAAAGCGATAGAGGACTGAAGTTTTTTTACAAACACATATTAATGAGATATTGTTACTTTCATATCTATGTAGTTTCGGATTACAAATACATGGTGCGTTCAAAAAGTTTCCGGACTGATTTTATTAAAAAACAACAAGAAGTGCTGTTGCGTTAGTATTCTTACCTATGGGTAGTTCATGTATTCATTATCTATCTATAGACAGGAGAAGCTCTGTTGTATGAAGCATATATATGAAAAAATCGAGATACATTTTAGACCACTCTCTACACACTGCCAAAAAATCCAGAAAATTGACCATCGTTCTATGATAAGATTTCTTGCTCTATGAGACCATATCTCATATAATAGGTATGAACGTGTGGGGGCAGTTTATATTGATCGATTCCCCATCGATCACTCCAGCTTCTGAACGAGATCGTTATTTTGAAGAAGGATTATTATGAATTGCTAACACTTTTGAATGTAAATAACCTAATTATTAAAGGTTTTGAAAGCCTGATGGTCGAAAAGGATCGAGTCGGATCTGGGCGAATACTGGACACACCTCGTATTTCAAATGTAGTACCATACAGAGTATTTCGAACGATCAAACACATAGGACTGAATTCAGTTCACGAAAATGTTACACTTCTTGATATGATATAATAAATAACATGCGGATCATATCGAGAACAATCATTAATAGTTCTTTATTCGTGTTTGCAACGATGAATTTATTCAAATATCGTAGCATATGATAGAGCATTATTGCTATAAACTGTCATGATATATTCATAAATTTTGAATGATCGATACTCTTTCAAAACACACGGCTTTATTCAAGCTGTGCGGTTCTATGTCAGTGTGTAGATGGTGGTCTAAAATGTATCTCTATTTTTTCATATAGATGCTTCATACAACAGGGCTTCTCATGTCTATAGATTCATGAATGTATGAACTATCAATAGGTAAGAATACTAACGCAACAGCACTTCTTGTTGTTTTTTTAATAAAATCAGTCCGGGGACTTTTTGAACGTATCATATACTATAGATATATATTGAAATAAAATAAAACAAAACATGTTGAGTTAGCTTTCTTAGTAAAACGTTGAAAAAACTGCAATTTTTTGTTGTTTTTGCAAGTACAAATTCACAATTTGAAGATGAAACTAATTTTTCTTAATTGAATTTAACGGTGTGTGGGTGTAGGGTGGGCGTTGTGAAGTCTATGGGTATGGATGTTGTTGGATGTGTGGATTTGGCTGTGACTGTTGCTATTGTTGTGGTCGGCGTTAAAATGATAGATAGATCCACACCTACACCCAGCAAAAGATACCTGCTCTGAGTAAAACATAAATATTGTTTGGAGGTAACATGTCTTGATAAATCGTAGCAAGGATTACTCGTTTTCATTGTCAGATTTAGATTTATTCGGTTATTGGTATTCATGCTTCGCACCACATTTTGCAGTCGAGCGGAACTCGAATGCATTTAGCTCTTTCTCGAATAACATGTCTAAAGTCCGTATTTGGTGACGCGATGATCTCGAGAACAACATATTGTCTGATTCTTGTTGACACTGCATTAGAGACGTTAAGATCTTAATAAGGTGCAAATTTTATCCGTTTTTCTGTATGATGTTTCGTTTTCCCAAAGTAAAACCTAGATATTATAAATAATCGATGGATTTTATTTTCATTATGTCGATAGAATGACAACGAGACTTCGCGCTGATCTAGCAATTATTCATTATGGCTAGCACTCATGACAAATGATCGATGCGCAATTGTCAAAACGGTTTCTAACAGAGTAAACATGCTTGCCTTGTATTCTGTCCTGTTACACAGGACGCAGCGAGGTGGCAGAGTTTTCTGAAAAACTGTTGTGAGATATGCAATATACTATTGTCTTTCTTTATTTGCTAACCTTCAGAAATACTCTAATATATGAAGAATAAAAATACTTTTCTTTGTATACTGACAAATGATAATTTCACGCAATAAAGCTGAGCACTCAAACAAAATATAAAAAATATTAAATCGATAGAGTGCAACCCGCGTGAAAAAATTATTTTATTAAAAATCGATCAAAGTGGCACGATTTTAATATGATTTAAGTCATCTTTGACAGACAAAAAAGCAGATTCCCCTGACTTTTTTCAAATCGATTTTAATCGATGAAAGATTACTATCGAAAGATCAAAGAAATCGACTTCTGTATTTGAAAAAAAATCGACTTCAATTAGATTGAAACGTGTCACTTGAGTCAGTTTTTCATCAAAGAATCTCATCAATTTGAAACTGATTTCTTGTCGAATTTGTTGACATGAAATATAGTCTGATTTTATGAGCTGTTCATTTTCTGAAATGGTCGGATTAGGAAAATATAATTTACGTCAATAGTCCTAACAAGATGATAATTTTTTCCTTACGTTCTATTCTTCGATGAGTCTTGGTTGCTGACATCTATTTTGTTAAATATCAGAATCCTATCGAGGACTATCAGCAATGCTGTTTGTTACGGTTATGCAAGAAAAGACTAGCGTGGAAATTATCAAAGTTTTTTCTTTATCAAAGATTTGTAAAGCTCATTGAGTTGATTCAGTTGGCACATGGACGATATGGCATCAATATTTTGCTTCAATAAACGACTGAATACAATTTAACAGATACCGTATAGCGTTTCATATTATAATAAAAGGAAAGTAATTCGATCAAATAATTGAAGTTGATCGCTACATAAACGATAATTATTTACTATCATCAATTAAAAATTACTACTCGAGAATTCATCTAGTATCTAGTGTTGATATTCTTTCTACAAGAAAAAATATCTCATATATATTAAATAAGTATGCATTCGTTAAAACAAAAGTTCAAAAACTGTAGATAACAGCAAATATTTTGTATATTAATATCAACAAATAGAATCTCATTCATTTGTGTACATACAAGAGGCGCAGTTAATACAAAAAAGGAACGATAAATGTCGATGTTTATCGTATTTAAACACCGCAGATAATAAAACACAATGTTATTTTCAAGCGATTTTGAAATGTAAACAAATGAAATTAAGGACTGTGCTTTACCTTAATAACCAGAACAAGATTAAATGTTCATTCAATAAAAAATTTGTCTCTCTGCAAAACTGTTTCGTTTGTTCTTTTTTTCAGAAAAAATTTTCTTGTTGGAGCAAAATTTACAATATCAACATTTAGTTGATTAATCAACTGTAACAATCGAAAAAAATGGTAAAATGACGCAAATTTTTTTTGGCCATGATTTGTTGAGATTTCATACTTATCACAAAATTCTATATCTTTTATTATATGTTTCAGAATCATAGAAGAAATATTTCCGAGAAGAATCTTTAAATAAAAAATGAGAAAAAAAAACTTGTCTCACAAGACTATCTAATTGTCTTTTTTTTATCTGATTCAATCTAATACGAGAAAATCTCTTCAGATACCTCTTTTCGATTTTAATGATTTTTTTTTGCCTATAGACACTACGTAGTGTTTTATAATGAAAAACAATAAAAGCATCTCGATTCCTGTTTAGATTTGGTTAAGCTATCAAATTTTTGATATGCATATTTTCTAGATGACTGCAAGTTTTTGGAAAAGTCAAGTCTTCAAATTATGATCTGAAACTTTGCGTACATAGAAACCTTAGGTATATAAACTTACATAAAAAATTCAGAAGTTTTAAACAAAGCCTCTTCGAAATATAAAGCTTTCAGAAAATTCATATTCTATGCACTATCTATGGCAGAGGACTTATATCTTGAAAGTACCATATCTCAGAGAGACTATCTGAAAAACTTCTGAATTTTTTAATGAAAGCCAATCTAGTTAAGGCTTCCATATGCACAAAAATTCATCTTTCTCTTGAAAATAGACATGTTGAAATTTTGATAGCCTAGACAATGATATGTGTAAGTAAAAGCTCATTAAAATCAGAAATGGGCAGCCGATGAAAGTCCCTCATTAACAGTCACACTATTTTATTGAGAATTCAAATCAACATCTGACAAGGTGAAAATGACTTTTTCAAAAAATTAAATCTCGCTGTAGAAAGCACTATCTCCCGAAATGCATACAAAAATACCAGTAGGCATTAATTTCAAGTCTTTTTCTCATATGAAAGATAGCCCCAAAAGTCTTGAAAAGATTATGGGGTATAGACTGTGGAGTCCAAAATTTCGGAATCTGGACCCGATCCATACTCATAATATCCTCAATATTTTTTTCAATCTGTTTTGATAATTGCTCCTAAGATACGAGATACTTTTTTCTGTTTATTTAGATTCAGCCACTAGCACGTCCTACGCAGCAGCCGTCGGATCCAACCCGATGGGCTCTATCATGAAATTAGAGAGTACAACATTTTCTATTGAATGACTTTTTGAAAATACATCAGAGTGACTCAAACGAAAGAAATTGATTTTGTCCCATTTAATCTGTGCTGATCCATTATAACATTTTAGTTTTTTACTCTATCCTTAAGGTTCATGAAATTTTCCTTTAACTGATTATTTTTCGACACAATCTTTTTCAATTCTTGATTTACACGGGAATAATTTATCATCTTTGCAACTATTCAATAACGATATGTCAACACTAATCGTTTCGTCTCTTTTACAATCGAATAGTGATGTAGCTTTAAAAAAATTAGAATAATTCTTTGATTAATAATAATAATGACATATCAAAAATAAAAAAGAAAACGAAAAAGACTAAACTACATTATTTGTCAAAACGATTTACTATTTCTAAAAAAAACTCGAAGTTTATTTAAAAAAGAAAAAGAGACAACAACAGCAGCCACATGGATATCATTTAAACAATTTTTCAAATGTTACTGTTCATCATCAATCAAAGCAGATTGAATCAACATTAATTGAACATACAGCTATGAGTAAACTTCAATTATCACTTGACCTTGCCAAACGTAAATATATCTATAAAGATATAACTGTATCAAATACAACGAATCCAAGTGAAATAAATCGAGTAAATGAAATAATAAATCGATCAATATTTCCCAAAAAATGCATATGTCTAATGTTTTTTCTTTTGCAGCAACTATTCCAATGTACACTACAATCGTCATCAATGTCGTGTTTTGATCAATGTGTAACAAATGTTAGATTTTATATTCTTTTGCGAGATTATTAAATCTTCTTGAACATTTGTCTTGCTGACATATATTTTTCATAATCTTTAGATCGCATTTATTATGCATTGTATGGTACCAATAATTCAATGTCATCATCAGATATACGAATTGGTTTATCACGACATCATAGTTTTTTTTTTTTTTTATAGAAATCAGATATTTTAATTTTGTTATTATTGTAATCATTATTTTCATTAGACTGATAGTATTTATGTTCTGTAATTTTTTTTTCTGTTCTTTCTCTCAATTCATCTCGAATAGTAAAATTTGGTTGAATAAAATTTAAAGTTCTTTTTTGATAAAAAGTAGATTTTCATTAAAAAAGAATCGAAATCACAATGAATGTTCGAGGTCTAATCTTTCATAAACAATATAAGTTTTTATTTGGTGGCTCATTTTTGATAATTTCCATCATCTTCTGCTTGAATTATTTGTTTTCTTTCCTCTGTTTGTGTTTTTCTGATCATACATCTTGGAACTCTCGAAAGGGCTTCACTGTAGTCGATTGCTTTTTTTTTTATTTGAAAAGGTATGTGGAACTGGAGACCTGGCAGAGCTTGGTTTTTTAGATAATACTTTATTACTATATAAATGTATATATTGCCATCTCCGATTCGAATTTGTATGTAATTATTGATGAATTAAAGAAAGATTATGTGTTTAACATGGCTACAATGAAACAATTTGACGACAATATGAATAAATATTCACGAAATAAAAAATTTATTTTTCAAAGTCAACAAACTCTTGATTTAATGAAACGATATGAAAAAGATTGTTTGTCATTAAATGAATATTCTGATAAGACTAGTAAAGGATCACATTAGTGTTCTGTTGCCATTATCTTGTAAACTATTGAATTATGTTCTCATTTGTATTATTACAATTACTTTCTCTAATACAAAGTTTTATTTACTTTTCTTCATAAAATAATGCTGATTAAAAAGTGTTGATGAAACAGGATCGAATTCATTCGCTGATTTCTTCTTCTGCATATAAAGAACGGAAAGCAAATCGGTTTAAGGAGATACTCCCCTTTCTGGATGTTAAAATAAAAATTTGTTCGATTTTTTATATGATTTCGAAGTATTCTCTGTCAAATGCTATCTAAATTTCCAATTCTATCGTACGAACTGCGAATGAGTAAGTACGGCGATTTACAGCCTTTGGAACCCAGGAATTTCTTAGAAAAAAAGTATTTTAAAATTCGAAGTCTATAATAACCTTTGCTTTACTCATCAAATATGACTAAAATAATTCGAATAATATATGTTTAGAATATCTCATTAACCCTTTGTGATAATTTTCACTAAATTATTTCCTCGTATTTGAATGAATTCTCAACGAAAAAAAATTGATTTCAAATTTTCAAACTATATCTTCAAATTTTATTAAATATAAATAACTAACAGAATAAATACATAAATATTTTCTTGAATAAATACAATACAAAATTATTTACAAATCCAATCAAACCAAAAAAAAAAAAAAAATTAATTTTTCTTCATAGCTAATTCAATTTCATGCATGCGACGATTAGCTTTTATTTCAGCTTTAATTGGACAATATTTCATTGTATGTGCTTGATCACCTGATAAATGACAGCGTGGACATTTATGAGCACGAAGAATTGGACATAATGTTATCGATTTTTCATTATCACGAAGACGATGTGAAGAATAAATATCATATGATTCACCATTTGCTTTACAAAATGCACATTCAAGATATTCACCAAATTGTTCACGACGCCAACGAGCTTTTACAATTAGTGATGATAAATCAAATGAAGATGAACGAAGTGGTAATCCAACCGATGAACGATTATCATAATTTGATAATGATGATGTTGGAGATGATGAAATCTATCAACATAGAAATAACTATAACATACACATATATATATACGAATTTTAAGACTTACAATTGATGGTACTGGACTTGAAGCAATAATTAAAGGTATATCAGGCATGAATGGTGATTGAAACTAAATATTCATATATATTTAAAATATAATTTTAAAAAATTAATTCATTACTTACCAAATTTGGAGAAGTAGGAAATAAAGGAGAAGGTGAACAACAGCTACAGAATGATTGCATAGATGATGATGATAATGTAGGAAACTTTAAAGAAAAAAAAAATAATAGAAACAAAAACGAACTATTGAAGAATATTAATAACATACCAATGGAAGAAATGTTGAATTATTGAAACTCATCATAGTGAAGAAGAAAACGAATGAAAATCAATAGAAAATAAAATTCGATTATGATAGTAAATATTCTCTCGAAGTCAAGATATATATATATATTTCTATTCTAACTAGTTTACAAGTTTTGTTACAACTAAAGAAGCGGTGTCAAATAGGAATACACTAATTAATACAAACAAACATATTTCTTTATTCGTAATCAACATAAAAGACAAAGTATTGTTCAATGATATACACATCAAAAGACATGTACATTACACATTTTATTCTCGTTAATAAAATCCATTCAATCGTTATCTATAGAATAATGTGAATTTAAATTAAAATCAATTTTTTTTTGAATCAATTGATTTCTTGATACAATGTGTTAATCCAATGGTTCATATTGGTATTATTTATCGATATTTATTATAAACTAGTGGGAAGTGACTGAGCTAGCCTCCCTCCCTTAGTCCCAAATTGTGACTTCCTCACATTTGTAAATCCCGTCATCATAATAGAAGATCGCGGGTTGTTTATTATGTCAAAGTGCACAAATTTTTCAAAAAAATTAAAAATAATGTCGACCTCAATTTTTGAGATCATTGTTAACTAATACAAAATCATCCCTGATTGATTTCTGAAAAGATATGAATAAAATATTTTATTATTTGTTGATTATTTGAAAGAAGAGAAATGAGCAATCATTATGATAATTAATTTACTCTCAGAAAAAAAATATTTCAATTAAATTTTTAAAATGTATTATAACATCCCATGCTATATTAATTATTTCGAAGATCGACATTTTCGAATAAATTCTTCACATCCAAACATTTACATTGTGATAGATTTAATACAAAATGAATAATCGTTAGTATCGATTATAAGATGACATGAATGACTTAAACTCTGTTTTTGTTTTTTTCGTATATATATTGGAATATTTTTTTTTTGTTCCGACAATATATTGATTGTCGCAAAGACTACTCATTTGTTCATTTCTGTACTTTCTAATAACTAACAAACAGCTAATCGTGTAAACCAATTGAATGATCATCTGATATTTTATTGAAATAAATATGAACGATAACACACAGAATAATATAACATGAAAAAAAAATGATTATTTAATTGGATGTTTTATTTCTACATATGATACACACTTGGTAGCAAGTTACCTATCAAGTAAAATTACCAACTGCATATTTTTTAAGACGAAATTCAAGTATTGAAAAGCGTGGTAGTTGATGGATGGATATATCTCCTATACACTCATACGTATTATATATTAATAGAGTAATTAGGCCAATAATTGAATATTAGCTGTAATTAGTTGAAGTTAAATTTAAAGGGAACGAAATCGGAAATTGCATTTTTCCTGTGGAGTTTCAATGGGACTAATTCAGAATCAATTAGTATAGGACAAATTTATTAGTAGCGTGAATGGTCTCAGTCGGAGTGCTGGTAAAGTTATAATTTTCCAAGAACTTAATTATAAAGGCAAATCTTCTATTGTGCGGAAGAGTTTATATATCCGCACTTGCATACATTTTAGTTTCTTTTTTTTATACGTCTATTGTTCATTTTAATGATGAGATATATTGATTAGCCGTTTTAATTTGATGAAGTATTTCGACAAAAAAATGACCACTGCGAATATCGAAATCTATTATCAAAGAAACCCAGAATAAGTGTACCAAATATGCAAACTATCAAAAATCCTCCAATTAAACAACCAAATGCAATTAAAAAGATTATTGCTGTATCTGAACTTGTTGATTGATTAGGTCCTCTTATTCGTCCATAGTGATCATCTGCATAAGTTCTTACATATCCATCATTTACTATTAATCAAAAAAAAAAAAGTTCTTTTTTTCTTTTCTCATCAAATCAACTCACCTTTAATTAAGATTAATACAGTGTCAATGAAAAACAACGATTGGACGAACATTAAAATATTTTTTGATTAATTTAAAAAAAGAAATTCTTTCTCACATTGAAAGTTTGTTATTAGAATATATGATGATACGTGTCATGTAAGCAAATAAAATTTTACGTGACATGTTTCTACGATGATTTTTATCTTTGACTAAAATGACAACCAATATGTCATGTTTTAGAAAAAAAAAGTATGCAATTTATACAACAAATACATACTCAAAATAAATTCTAAATCGATTATTTCAAGGTACCGAAAATTTCGAAATTTGAGTAAATTTTTATTTTTTTTTTGTTAATCTTATTCTTAACACAATCAGACGATAGTTTTGTAGTGAAACTGAAGTTTAAAAAACCAAACAAGTCTATACTAAAGGTATTAACTGCGAATATTTATCTAAATATTTTTTTTTCATTTGCCGTGTATAAATCAAAAAGAAAATATTTAGATAAATATTAAGACTTGATGGTTTCAGCATATTTCAATCTATATACACTTCTCTGATTTTTAAACTTCTAAGTTTTGCTACAAAAAGCATCGTCTGATTATGTCAAAAATAATACTATTATAAGTAACTCGACAAGCTCTGTTGAACCATGACAAAAAGAAATATTGCTAAAATAATAAATTGTCGGCATCTTACTGATTGTTCTATCTAAAAACTTAATCGACGGATCTATATTTTTTTGTTTCTATATTTTTATTGAATAACAAAACAAAAAGATATCTATAGCGACAAGAAAATTTATTTTCATTACTAATTCATTTTATAAAATAATTTTCTTGTATCTTCATTATGCCTTGTCGATCTCAAAAAGTTTTATGTAACAAAAAAAAACCAAATTCATCAATTACAGGAACAGATCAATTAATACAATTGAATATGAATGCATGTAATCAAACACAACGTATATTTTCATTTTAATATAATTTTACTTTTAATTTAATAGTATTTTTTTTTCTAAATAGCTAATATAATTTCTCATTTGGAATCAATTGGTAATTTAATAATCAATGAATTAACAGGATCAGAACGTAATCGTTTAAAACAACAATTACTTACATCTTGTATTTCAAATACAAAAACAATTCAGAATTTACCATTATCTTCATCAAAAGCAAGTTTAAAACAAGTATTAACTGATTTACATACATATGATTGTCATAGTCAACGACAATATCGTACGATTGGTACAGGTGACAATGATATAAATATAAGTACATCAACAACAAATATCAATCAATTAGATATAACACCAACACAAAATAATAAAACAAATATATTAAATGATGAAACTCAATTATTAACAGCAATAAAACGTAAAAGAAGACAAACTAATCATCTAAATTTATTTCAAATAAATGAACCGAAGAATACACCAAATATAGTAACACGAACTATATGTACAAGAAGTTCGAAATTGAATAATTTAAATAATAATCGAGAACAATCTAATTCTGGTTAGTTGAAAATATAATTGTAACGACTATAATAATCTAGTTTTCATTATACATTCAAAAGTTCAATAAACTTTGTTAGGTCATAAATAATTCAGGCATAAAAGTAACTATTGATCTACAGTTTTCAATTTTCGAAACAGAAAAAATAATTTTATCAATCTATATAAAAAGCAAACAATCAGGTTGTGGTCTGTTCTCAGTGATCATTTTGGAAACGATATCCTTAGAGATTTTCTCATTGCATGTTGATTTTTAAGATAATCATTTCATAGAGAAAATAATGGCCTCTCTTGGTGGTTTCGCTGCCAAGTTATAACTATTCTTCTGAGACTTCTGAAATCAGTCGATTGACTACTGGATCCGTTGGAAATGAGTTGATATAGAAAATTTTAACTATGCTGAAACAAATAGTGGTATTTGTCTTCTTGTCTAAAGCAACATGAAAAAATAAGACTAGCATCGTCAGTTTTAATTAAGTTTTACGCGGGAAAAATAGATTTTTATAATATCGAATTGATTGTCTCATGTTACTTTAGAAGAAAACAAACATCACTACTTGTTTCAATGTGGTCAAAAACTTGTATATCAACTTGCTTCAAACGGATGAGTGGTTAATTGACTGATTGCGGAAGTCTCAGAAAAATGCTTATAACCTACCAACAAAACCACCTAGAGATAACATAATTTTCTCTATCAAATTATTAGTTTAAAAATGAACATTAAATAGAATAATTCTCAAGAGCATTCTTTCCAAAATGATCATTGAGAACTGACCATTGTTTGACTTTTAAAATAGATTGTTATAGTTATCTATCTTCTTTCGAATGCTGAAAGGTGCCGCTCACAAGCTAGGTTTCTGTCTGAGTTATTTGTGATACAATAAAATCTATTGACTTTTTAAATGGACAATAGTTATTCTTAATCGAACACGTAAACGTCGATCATCTTTAATAAATACACAAACTCAAATCAATGATAATGTAGTAGATAATACAGTAGAAGAATCTCGTTTCGATTTACAAAAAAATAATGGTATTTCAATTGTTAATTTTGTTTTCTTAATTATGCGTATTTATTATTTTTTTTGTTATTAGGCAATGATGTAACTGGTATAAAAGTACCTCGTAAAAAACTTCAATCATCTGTTCCATCGTCAACATTTATCGAATATTCAAAAGCTAGAAACGATTTTTAATTTCATATTTTAACAAGTTTTTTTTGTGCTGAAAATATTTTAGTTTAGTAAATAAATAAATAAATGGCGCCATAAGAAAAAAATATAAATGGCGCGTTTCGTTAACAACAATTTATCTTTAGTATAAAACAATCGATTTCTTTGTTTTTTTTTTAATTCATTTTCTGTGTGTCCAAGTGTTTTTGTTCTTATTATTACGATCGTTTTATTATTATTAATATCTACATCATTTTTGTTGTGTATTCATATTTCAACGAACGTCAATGTCTTACGATATGACAACTGGTAGTGCAAAGTTTGAACGAATGACAAAAGAAGAAAAATTACGTTTTTGTCAAGATCTTATTAAACAAGCTGCTAATTTAACTAAATCGTCAGATTTAAGTGGCGTACATTCGACAGGAAGTAAGTCTAGTGTTAGTGGTGTACGTTCAACAAGCAAATCAAGTAAACGACCAGCTTCAACTAGTGGTACTCTATCAAAAAAAACTAAGAGTGGAACATTAAGTAAAGATGAAAAATCAAAAATGTATGGTAAATCAACTGTAACTAAACAATCAACATCAAAATCTGCAGTCAAATCACCAACATCGCATAATGTCTGTTCTTTCATATTATTTTCTACTTTTTTAAATATATATTTTTATCCAGCCACCAAAATCGAAGACCAGTTTTCGTCAGCATTCTTCGGTTCGGGTTAGTGTGTCCGTTTTTTTGTTTGTTTGTTATATGGTTTATAATGTTTTATATTTAGTCAGGAGATAACAAATCAAAATCGAAGGCCGATAATAAAAAATCTTCTGTACGTACAGGTGTTAAAACAGGTAGTACAGTTGGTATTCAATCAAGTATGAAAACAGGTAATAATGATTTCAAATTTTCTATGAAAGAAATTGTTTTCTGTTTTTTTCTTGTGTTTTGGTGTTAAACATAAAACAAAATCAAAATCAAAACTTGCAAAATCGGGAACAGTAAAACAATCGACTTCAAAATCAGTATGTCTATTGCAGGGGTTGTAACCGGACCGATTAAGAAAGATTTTATAGATAGGTCAGATTTCTCTGATTCAGTTTGTTGAGAATACGTTTGATTGCTCTTATCGAAATAACCAAATGGTGTTGGTTCAAGAACTATCCGTTTTTATTTTCTTGTCTTCTTCTACTATTTTATTTCTTTCATTCAAGGTTATCTCACTTTCTTAAAAAGCGCAATTAAAACTGTGTTACTTGAGCTAAACTTATATCATGTATGTTTTGGTAAAGATCAAATTGAAGTTTGAATTGTCATTCGAAGAGAAACCTTAGGTTTTTTCTGAAAAGACTGACGAAGGAATCATCTGTGCACATGGGTCTCTATCCAGGCAGACAAACTTTTAAGAAAACGCGTTTAAACGCACAGAAATTGGCCTAAAATCCGCAAAAAGTGGACGTTTTTGGCTCACATTCACGGTTTCCGACTGTGAGCCAAAAACATCCATTTTTTGCCCTTTTTGTGCGTTTAAACGCGTTTTCAGACAAGAAACGCGTGTACACGCATACAAAAAAGAGAAAAAAGTTGTCTTGTTTTCCCAACTCCAGAAACATTACTGTAATCATGATCATGCATCTCGAGTAGGAGAAAACGACCATTTTTTCTCTTTTTTGTATGCGTGTACACCCGTTTCTTGTCTGAAAATGCGTTTAAATGCACAAAAAGGGCGAAAAATGGATGTTTTTGGCTCACAGTCGGGAACCGTGAATGTGAGCCAAAAACGTCCAGTTTTGGCGGATTTTAGGCCAATTTCTGTGCGTTTAAACGCGTTTTCTTAAAAGTTTGTCTGCTTGGGTAAAGCTGAGTTGTGACCGTTTTAATAAGTTTTTGATTGAGCCTTAAGTATTTATCGAAAGATCAAATAATAAAATTCCGACCAGAAATTTTGCTTATAGACAGTTCTGATGAGTCTGAGAATATTCTGAAAGTTTCAGCCGAAAAGAATGTTCATCTATCGAGATTTTGAATTTTCAAAGGCACCAAAATCGAGTTTACTTGAAACATCAGTATTTCAACAAAGAAGCATCTTTTTCGGCTGAAACTTGCAGGATATTCTATTAATCATTCGACCTGTTTATGAGCGAAACTTCAAGTCGAACTAGAGTTATTTGGTTTTTCGTTAAATAATGCCCAAATCTGGAACGAAAATTCAGTAAAGTTGTAATAACTTTGCTTTAGAGATCCATAGTCACGAATCCTTTTAGGATTTTTCTAGGCTTATCGAAACCTTCTTGTGAACCAAATATGAGCTCAAACGACGGATATCAGTTTGGGTAGTTACCTCACACAAGTTTTGGAGTTTAGCAATCAGTTGTTGGGTAAATTACTCTTTTTCGCGCTATATGTAAAAACATCATATGATTCATGTTTGAGAAACGTAATAGATATATGAATGCCTGTAAAATAATGTTTCTTCATAGAGATTTTTAAAAGCCTGAGTGCAAAAAGGAAATGAATGTCTTTTGAGGCCGTTTCCATTAACCGATTAATAATGATTTAACAAACAGACCAATCACGAGCCGGACTTGACTATTTCAAAAAAATTTTCAACCGGTTACAACTCTGATCTATTTATAAATCAACCTAATGTTAATTTTATGTTGCTGTATTTTTTTTTAGTCAATGCGAAGTAACAAATCAAAGAGTAAGCAACAACATTCATCTGAAACGGCTTCACATACATCATTAAAAGTTGGTGATACAAGTGATGTTCGTTCGGCTTCAAATACTAGTGGTTTGTATTTGTTAATTAGTCGGATCGAATCAAATCGTTCGATAATAATTATAGGTAAAAAAACAAGTGTAAAAAGTTCAACATCAAAACCTGGATCGAAGACGGATTTAGGAGTGAGCTAAATAGAACTTTTGTTATTGAAAAAAAAAAGAATTGTTAAATTAATTCATCATAGGGTTCGTCATCAATTGTTGCCTCCCCAACTGGTATTGTTTATTTTTGAACTATTACTAATAGACAGTTTTTTTATTTCTTGTTAGGTACACATACAAAATCAGGAACTATATCGAAATCAACAGCACATAGCCAAAGCCGACCAATTGGTGGTGCTTCAAGCATTCGTTCTACTGGTAAGATTTCTATATTATTGTTTATATCAAATCTTGAAAGAATAATTTTAGCTGCTTCAAAATCACATAAGAAAACGAATAGAACTCCAAAGGCAGAATCAGGCACCAAGAAAAAGGTTATATTTTGTTAAATTATATAAAACCAAGAATATTTTTTTTCATTTTATAGACAGTAGCTTCATCTGTTCGTTCAGCATCCAAATCTTCACCAATGAGTACCAAGACTGATAGTAAAACCAAATCAAGTACAAAATCAGCAAAAACAACAGGAAAACATCAAACACAACAATCAAAACATCCACGTATACCAATAAAAGATCGTACTGAAACATGTGCTGTACAATTTGTACCAAAATTTAATTCAAGTTCAACAAAAAATCAAGTACCAATCTATCATCTTATTCGTCATGCATTCGGTAATATGGTACGTGAAGCTATATGTCAATTAGATAAAGAGAAATCAGGTGTTAGTTCTCAACAAATTATTGATCATATACTTAAACATTACTCATTTCCAAATAATATATCTCAAAGTGCTATACGTAATCGTACAATATTTACAATAAATGCTGGTTTGCGTGCTGGTACCCTTCTTACAGTTAGTCCAAATAAAGGTGTTCGAATTGGTCGTATGCGTCGTATTTATCCACGTATGCTTTGCTAAAGGAAAAAAAGAATGAAAAAAAACTTTCCATTATTTGTCTTTTTCTTTTGTATTTATGACGAGAATATTATTCTATTTAAATAAAAGAAAACAAAAAAAAAAAAGTAATGAAACTTTTTTTCTTTAGCTATTGTTCTTTTTTTTGCTTTTTTTAATTCATTTATCAAATGATTGTTGCCATCGAATGTCGTCTGCATGTTAAATACTTCGGGAGAGACTGGTGCATTTTGATTTTTCATGTCTCTGACAATAACAGCTACTTGAGAACATGTCATTTTGACAATTGCTAGTTTCATTTTTCTTTCATAGACGAAGGACGTATTTTATTTTCTTGGTGTTTTAATATTCAATATACGAATAATACTCGTTCATACAACGTTGAATAATAAGTAATGTATAACATGATTTGACGTGTTTATTGATGTAGAAAGTGCGCCATTCTCTCTCACTCTCTCTGTGCAAGAGAAAAGTGAATAATTAGAAATTAAATATTGGTATTATTTCTTTTTGTTTTTTTTTTGTAATTTAAAACTAATTTTACTATTTGAACAGGTGAAATACTCATTAAAAAAGGGCTTTTTTAATCTATCGTCGCAATAGAATTTCTTAGTGCTTCCATTTAAATATCTTCAACATGTAAAAATGCATGATTTGCATAATAATTTTTTGTTTTGCTATAAATGAATTTGTTCAAATTTCTGTTTCTTTACTTAGACCTGATGTGATAGGTTACTTTCTAAATAAAATTTCATATAAATATTTTTTGTGGCTTTACTCATTTGACTATGTTGAAATAGAATAGTAGAATCATTCTATTTACTTAGTCAATACTACAGATCACCAAGCAAAAATGTTAAAAGTTTTCGTATAAAAATATCTTATACTTATTGGTAACTTGATCAATCGTTTAACACACAAAAAATAGAAAGCAGAATACTCTAATATATTAGTTAATAATTTACATAACAAATATTAAAATCTATTATTTTTGTTTGTTATTCGTCAAAAAAAATAAATACTCATTATTTTATTTGTTTTTTTTTCTCTCTAGATAAACGTGATGCTTACAACACGGCGGCCAGCAAGTCGTATTGATATATATGATAATAAAACTTTACTTCGTCATGAATATGATACACATATAAATTTAACCAAAACTAATCTTTATTCTCCATCACCACCACCAATGTCTTATCGTGATTTACGTTCACTTATGTTAAATAAAACATCATCATCATCAAATGTTGTTATTATACCTGAATCATGGAATTCAACACAAAAATTAGTAAAAGATTCATCAAATGAAATAACATCTGAGAGTCCTCGAAAAAGTGCGCATCGAAAAAAACATAAACGTCAAGGTGTTGATGTATATCGATCACTTGTACGAACAGATTCACGTTGTTCAGCATCATCCGAACGTGATATAACAAATGATGAAATGAGGTTTTTGGCTAATTCATTTATTGTTGATCATATAACAGCAACACCAACAAGTGGTTTTTTTCATCCACAAAATTTACCTAATATTCAAAGACATCGTACTATTCATACTAATGGTCGAATAGGAAGTAGTTACACAAAATCAAGTTATATATCATCACCATCATTATGTATTCAACATTTTGGACGTAAACGATCAACAACTCCACAACAAACACATCGATCATCACCTATTGATGTAAAGCATGAAACAACTAATAGTAATATGACAATAACAACAACAACAACAACAACAATTTCATCACCTATACACGAACCACAAACTCGTAAACAATTACATGTGTATATGCCACATATAGTTTCTTGTTAGTTTGCAAAAAAATTTTTTTTTCTTCTTCATGTCATAAACTTTTCTACTATGTTTATTTGCTTCAAAAAGGAAAAACTACCTTCTTCTTTTTTTTCTTTTTTACTATTCGAAAGCTCGGAAGATTGCTGTTCAATCAGGCGAGAGTAATATTGAAAAAGGAAAAGTAGCAATGAGAGAAAAAATTTTCTAAGCACATACAATGATTTTATTGATAATAGGAAATAGAAGAAAAATCATATTAACTGTCATTTTTTTTTCGTTTCTTTTTTTTTCTCATTATAACATAAAGTAAAATCTTCATTTTCTATTAATATATGTATAAATCAATTGCGTTGAACCATATATGTTGCTAAAAAAGAACACAAAAAAAGTGAACCGTTAATGCAGGTTTGCTCTAATGCTTGCATTAGCACGATATAGAAAAACACGAGAGCTTTCGGTCTGGCTGAGAGAAATAAAAAAAAAAAGTTAAAGAAATCTAATCATAAACATCATCATCGTCGTCGTCATTCTGTCCTTCTCTCTCTCTCTTTGTGTTAGCAATCATAAAACAGCACTAGTCTTGATATATTTTGTCTAGAATGATTGAAACACCACAGGAAACAATTATGATGATCAATGAAGAGCAACGTTTTGCTCTTCATTCAATAACAAATTCAAAAAAATTATCTTTTGATCGTTATGCCTATTCACGTTATAAATATGGTGATAGTAATCTAGCTAAACAATTTGGGCAAGAATTATGTACAGGTTTTTTAGAAAAATATCATGATTTTCTTCTTACATCAAATCAACAATTTATGGCTATATCATCACCACGTGGTATTATACCACCAGCAGCTTATTATATTTTTCAAACATTTTTAGAAAAATTAAATCGGTTTTTACAATTAAATGGACGTCCACCAGCCTTAGAACATACAATACAACGTTTAAGTACAATACCAGAAGATTATTCATTATTATCAAGACGTGAACGTTTTGATCGTTTAGTTGACGAACGATATTCAATTGATAGTCAACCAGTTATGAATAAATTTTTATTATTTATTGATGATATTCGTATTACAGGTAAGAAAGAACATATTATTGTTTCAATTTTCTTTTTTTATTTGTTATTATTATTATTATTATTATTATTATTATTATTGTTTTTCTTTTTTGTAGGTATGCACGAAATGAATATTATTCGTTTATTAGAAACATCACAAATTTATAACTCACGTTTATTTATTTATTATGCTCAATTAATAAATGATCAAGTACCATCATCATTTGAACATGAATTGAATCGATGTGCAATTGATAATCTTGAAAAACTTCTAGCAATAATACATAATCCATTATCATCATTTCAAATAAATACACGTGTATTAAAAGAAATTTTACGTTCAAATTTATCTGAACTTGATCATTTTTTAAATTCAATTAGTATTGATCTCATATCAAAACTTTATTATTCATCTCTTGCATGTAATTATCAAACAATTGAAACATTTACTGATAGTTTAAATTATATGAATCGTTGTCTTCAACAACGACAAAATATTGATAATATAAAACAATTAGAATAAAAAAGAAAGAAAGAAAAACAAAATAATAATAACTCAATAGATTTGTTTAGTAGATAATAGATTTTTGCATGCTCATTAATTCTCTTTATTTTAGTAAATATTATAGAAGAATAACCGACAGTTTTTATAATTTTAATTTTAGTCAGTAATCAATCAAAGGAAAAAAAATGACGAGTGACATATTCTTATCGACGACGACCAAAATATGTATCCCAATGATGTTTTCGACCAAATAATTGACGTTCCACTGGAACATGACCTACGTTTTCAAATGAGCGACTTTTCGGAGTAATAAAAGCTATTGATGGAAATATAAAATGACCTGCTCGTCGTGAGACAAACACATGATCATCATTGTCATCATCATTTTGCTTATTATTATTAATATTGTTTGATAATAAATATGGATCATCAATAGTAATTGATCCATAAGTATGCATTACAATAAGACATGATGCTAGATATATAAAAGAAAATGCTTTTAATCATTTTCTTAATTAATTTATATCATTTATATTGAAAAACGAAAGTTTAGTAGAAAAACACATAGACGAATACTTACCGATAATAGAAAGCAGATAGAAACTTGAGACCATGATGACTATATGTGATTATGGTTGTTCGTGTTGTAGATGTATGGGTGATTTTCTTCTTTCTGGTATTCATGTCGAGAAACGAGAGAGCAAGAATTAATTATAAAGAGTGGATAGATCTTGAACTAATTACACATGGCTTTTGATTCGTTTTCACAATACAAGTGAAAAAATTGACATTCACTATTATCTGTCACGTCACTCATCTCTTATTTTTTATTGGTGATCGTCTCTTTTTTTTTCTTTTTCTCTGACTTCTCTTTATTTCTTTTAAATGCATTTTCTTGTATACGTTTTCAATAATCCTAAAATTGAGCCTAAACAACTGAATGTCTCAACAAGTCTAGAACATGATTTTAATTATTGAAAGAAATGCAAAACGCAAGAGCATACAAGAGATCATGGTAAAAATACGCCAGATTGTATGTTACACTTAGTTCTGTCGTAGTATATAATATAGATCATGATGAATTATATATAAAGAACAATGCATATAGGCAAGGCATGCATATATATTAAATTACAAAAGAAAAAAAAAAGCCATGAACAAACAAACAAAATTTTGTCGTTTTATATATCTATGTTGTCTCATCATCGATATATACAATATGCCACTGTATGAGCAAAATGACTACTGAAAAAAAAAAAAGAAAAAACAATCAAACAAAAAAAAACGTTTTCTTTTTTGTTTTGATCAATGACCAGCATCACAAGAGAAAAAAAGAGAGAAAGGCAAACAAATAACTAATTTCATCAAATAGAAAACAAACAAATTTATTGTATACCAAATGTATTTGTTTCTTCAATGGCTAGTAATAATTTATTGTATAATATATCATATGATGTATAAGATGGTAAATCAAGACGATTAAAACATGTATGTGCACGTGGTAATGCATCTGATATTCCCCAACGTTCAATACAAAAACGTCTTGGTCCATTTGAACCACGTAATGCTGAAAAACCTTCGTACGGTATTGATGATGTACCAGTAACAAATTGTAATAATTTTAAACGTTGTTCATTATCAAAACGTTTTTCAACACAAAACCAAAACCATTCAATAACATGATGTTGTGCATGATAACCACCACGATATTCTGTATTCATACGCCAATCATTTAAATCAATTTCCATTGTACCACATAAAGCTAATTCTAATTCACGTGCATCAAACATCGATGAAATTAATTTATGATCACCAATTATTTCATAAAAACCACGTACAAAACAATCAATTTGTTCTTGTACACCACGTTCGATACGCCATTTAATAATTAAATCAAGAAATTCACGTTTATTACGTTCGGTAACTTGACAATTTTTTCCCTCGGGTTTTAATTCTTTTTCGATTATTTTTCCACATTGATCTTCATTAACATAAAAATACAAATCTTGATTTTCAACATTATTTTCTTTTATCCATAATAATGATTGATAAAATTCTGGATCAAGGGATTCTAAATCAGCTAATGTAAATGATTGATGTTCACGTAATAAAGCTTTATATAATGGACGAACAAGAAATGCATCAACTAGATATTGATTTATCAATGCCACAGCTACATTAAAAAAGAATAACATAAAAAATTAAATACAACAAAAAACTAATCATCAAAATCGTCATTCATTGATAAGAATATATCGAATAAGAGAAATGATTAATTGCTTATGAGTCACGACACAATCTGTAACGTGTTGACACTAATGAATTATGAATAATCTGAAAAGTTCGTGATATTAATTTATTTCTGTCGAGATCAGGGTCACCGATTAGGGAGGGTAGAACATGGACATTTTTCCCTCCCAAAAATGTAGAACTCTGCAAAATTGTTTTTATTGTCTTATGGGAAATTATGACGGCAAGAGAATTTAACCAGTTCTAAGGTCTACTTCTGATGAATATTCATACAATGACATCTACTCTCAGACAAAATATCATAGATAGTCTATGATTTCAGTGTCTTCTGTTCGATCTCGACGAGAAAGACGAATGAAGACATTTTCTAGCGAATTTTTAGACTCTATCAAAATCAAAAACAGCCGGAAACTCTGATTGAGATACTGTATGTTTTAAAACAAAGCTGTGGTTTGTCTCAGAAACATCTGAAAAAATTGATTTTCGAATTTAGCACAGATAGACTTAAACACAACAGTTTATAGTGAATATTTTAGTCCAGCAACAACACATTTTTGATATTTTTATTTAATGTTAAGTACCTAGCTCATAGTCCGATAGTGATTTTAATGCATTCTATAAAAAGGTTTCTTAGATGAACTATAATGACAAGGTTATTAAAAAACTGGACATCATGATTGTTAGATCCTAGAAATTATTTTTTAATAATCCCAATTCAAATAGTACAAAACTTTGAACAAAATGACAGCCATAGCATTAGCTACGGTTTTCTTATAAAAATTATAAAAAAACGAAATTTATCACAAAATAGACTGAAAAACGCCTTTTTCCGGTTGTTGTGATATTTTTAACCTTTTAAGCGAGAGTCGCAAAAACGCAACGACCTTTCATTTTGTTTCCTTTAAAATGTCATTCCTAAAAAATAATTTCCGGGACCTAAAAACTATCATATTCGGTTACAATTCATCTGTGAAATATTGGTATAGAATGCATTAGATAGAAAACTTCATCGGCTACTAAAATTAATATCTGGATCTGAGACAATTGCTTAACATTATATAAAAAGTACATTACTGTTAAACTTTGTTCCACAAGTTTATACTGGTGATTTCGATGTTCTTTTTTCAAGATACGAAGAAGTCAAGAAGTCTATCATCGTGGAAAAATTCGAGTCGAAATTGGAATCATTAGTATTTCTGAACTAGACAAATCGCAATTTTGATTTACCAATTACCATAACAATGCAGCATCTCATTAGTAATAAGCTAACAGCAAGAGTACTTCCCAGGGAAATTCATAATTCATTAGAGTCTATATGATGCGCATTATTCTAACTCCAAGGCGACCTATAAATTGGTGAATTTATTCATAAATATAACTTTAGTATTTCTTGTTTTGAAGAAGAATTTTTCAGTTAGCATGATAGTGTAAAATATTATCCGATACAAAAATCAATATTTTCGATTTCAACTAAAAAATGTCATTCTTTTTCAAAGACGAAACTTTATTACTATTGACAACTATGTGATACTAATTTTAATCATAAACACATCTTGTCGCATATTACAAAGAAGTCATAAAGTCAATATTAGAGCTTGTCGGGTACGAATTGTCTGAGAAATGTCTAGAATGCATCAGTCATCGAGCATAAAAGACCGGAAAAAAATATCTCGTATCTTCGGGGCAACTATGCAATTTCGATTATAAAAGTTCATTGAGCGTATCAAAGTACGGCTTGATCGAATTCGGATTCAAAAATTCTGGATCCGACAAGCTCTAATCAATACAATCTTGTTTTTATGAGCGTCTTCGCTTTTTTTTCCTCTTACCAAGCATTCGTCCACCAAAACGCATCCATTCTGTATAGTTTTCATTAAATTTTGACATAGGACTTATTTGTAATGTATATTGATCACTAGCTGAATATTCAAAAAATCCATAATATGGATTAAAAAATTGTCTTGACATAAGTAAAAAGAATTCTCTTGATGGTCCACCATAATCAAGACCTTCTTCACCTGTAAATGTAATAAATAATTTATTTCGTTGTAAATCTTTTTTTGGTATTTGATTCATAAATTTTTCAAATGCATCAGCAAGTAAATTATTTCGTGATATAGATACTTTTGTTTTCGATGGACCTGTTGCATAGCCTTTTGAATCAAGTTTTTTATAGAAAGCACGTAATTTTTGTTGAAAACATGGTCGACGTGATGATGATGATGACGATGATTGTTGACTTGAGGAACGTCGAGATGATGATGATGATGGTTTACTATGTTCAACAGTAAATGTTGTTGATGGTGATGAAGAAATAAATGATGATACAGAATGTGATGTTGTAACAATAGCTGATTGTGTTAATGGGGGAATATAAGACACAATATCTTCATGAAAGACACTAATAAGTAGACTTAAATCAACAGAATTTGATAATGTATCAAGTGCTCGAACACCATCAGTACGTATTAATTGAATTTTATCACGTAATTTACTTGTTAATGGTACAAGCTAAATAAAGAAAAACAAAATTGTTCGATGGCAAAGATATAATAATATTTTGTTTTTATTTACTTGATTTGCTTTAAGTAAATCATATATATGTGGTTGTCGCATAAATGCAACAACTTTTTCGTTATAAGTCAATGTAATAAGTTCATGTGGCTTTTTATTTGTACGAGAAGATATGGAAGAATTTTCATCATTTCTATTCGATGGTGGTAATGCAATAGCAGCTAGTATTGATTGTTGTTCATCATTATTTGGTAAACGTGGATCAATATATGTTGTTGAACGTGTGTTATGATCGACAAAAAATAATTTTCCACTATCATCATGTTTAATATCCCAACGAGATGGTAATGGTCGTGTTGGATCAGCAAATAAATTAAGAAAACGTACTAGTTCTTTATTATGTTGGTATCTTTTAAATAATAATGGATCATGTCGTATACGTTGTAATATACCGGCTAATGAATCGGATTTAATCATCTGACGTGCTTCACGATGTGTTTTAAATAATTGATAAAAATCTGATCGGCAAATAAATTTTAAAGCTGGAGTTGCACGAACATAATCTTCTGTTGTTTGGATTGCTGAAGAAGCAGATGATGATGATGACGATGATGATGATGATATATCATTATTTGTAGTAGTATTATTATTATTATTGTTATTATCAGGAGAAAGAATATTAGATGAATCGGTTGTGGAAGAATTTGTTGTTGTTCGTCGAATACTTTGATAACGTTTATCCATTCGTTCACGATCAATTGTTGGAGAAGAACTTTTAGGAGCAGTAATAATACTAGTAGTAGCAGCAGTAGTAGTAGTAGTAGTAGTACCAACAGCAGTAGTAGTAGTACCAACAGCAGCTATTGGAAGACGAGATGTTGGAACAATTGATTGTGATACTATTGTTGGACGTTGCCATGTTGTTGTTTTATTATTATGATCAATAAAATAAGGTCGACCAAATTGATCAATTCGACTTTCCCATCCAGAAGGTAAAGGAGGAGAAGCATTAATTATCGGTGGAGATGGAGGATCACTTATATCAGTTGTTAATGTTTGTGGTGGTGATGTTCTAGTATCAATAGTAACTGGTTTACGTGGTAATGTAACCATAAATGAAGATTCATGTAACCTGAAAAGAATTTTCAAAAACAAAATAGCTGTGAGTGCAATCCTTGTGAAATTAAAATGTGAAAGACAATGTAGCTGCTATTACGAATCATATGCAGATCGCTTTATTCTATCTGTTTCGGTATACATTTCTTCACAATCCTTATACTTAATCCTTCAGAAATTCAATAAGACACTAATTCATATATTAGAACGAGCCATTATTACTATGCGATCTTTGATGGTATATCTATAATGTCTGTCACAGAATGTGACAGAAATGGGGGACGCTACTAAGGAGTTTTGTCACGACCTGTGGAAAGGGCAATCAATCTAAATTTCTATCCCTTTACTTCAATACTCCTTGTAGATCATGTACCACAAAATTAACATCTAAATATATTATTTTTTATTGTTTTATCAAATCTTCATTAAAGTTTTCAGGTAAATTGTCGGTATCTAACGAAATCAAAATTAAAATAGTCTTTTTACTCATGGTCAAATTCTTGTCAGCTATCATTGTAAAAAGAAAGCTGCAAGTCGAATTCAGCAAAATGAATCTTGTATTGTCGAAAATCAATTACATTCTACAAGATCTACAGCAGAGATAGAATCAGTATGAAATCTATATCGAGAGTGGACTGACGAGTTCTTTTAGTATTCCATTTTTCAATAATGATATTTGACATAGTCAACTTTCAATAAAGTTTCATCATAGATCCTATATGAGATAATATAGCACAAAAAAAATTATTAAGCCACACCGATAGCGATCAGTCTGAAACTCTTACCGGTAGCGTCTCTGATCTACAGCAATCATTGAAAAAGAAGTCAACGTCGTTAAGGTTGTTTGTGAAAATGAACCAGAATCAAGTATTATGGTCTATTACATATTACAATAAATAACAACACACCGAGTTATGACGGAACATCTCTCTTATTAATACCATACGAGGTACTTCTATGAAGAAGAATTATATAGACCGAACACTTGACCCTGACTCATTTTTATAAGCATCATTAACTTTTTCCTGTAGTAATTATGAATAAAACAATTTTAATTCATATTGAAATCTTTTCAATTGCTGAAGAGTAATTCACGGTTTTTATTCTTCGTACGGACGTTTGGAACATCCTGTATAGTAAATTAATACCAGAATCTTGAGAATTGGTATAGCAAAGAAAAACGTTTCTGATTCTTCCCGAGATCTATATGACCTTGTAGACACCAGACGTGTCTGTTGGGCATTCTTTTTTTCTTCTCGTTTGCCATATACTGTTGTCAAGTTTGCACACATTTTTTTTCGAGTTAATATCCTTGTCTATTAATATTTTAGTTTTCCTTGATTATGAAAAAAAAAAGAAAATCTATTATATTACAAACCTTGAATTATTTCGATGAGTGGAATTATCATTTGTTTTAATAATTGATTGTGATGTTGAGATAACTGTTGGTATAATAATTGGTTCTTCAGTAACAATAAAAGATGATGTAGTACCTATTGTTCTTGAATCTTCAATAGATGGAAGTATACTTGTAATCATATTCTCTGTTTCATTGTGATGTAATGTTGATGATGAAATCGATTCATTTGTTTTTTCGGAATTTTTTCTTGGTGGTGTTGTTGTTAAATTCTTATATTTTGATACTTGTTGTTTATGCCATTCTTGTAATTCACGTGTAATCAATTTTCTGAAAATAGGAAAAAAGAAAACACTGAAACTTAACAGAAATTCTTCAAAAAAAACTACCGTGTTTGTTCAGTAGATGAACAATCTGTATTAGAATTATTATTATTTGGATTATTAGTATCTGATGTTGTTATTGGTTCATATTTTGATTGAAGACGATGAAGATCTCGAGCTGCTTGACGAAGTTCTATAAAAAATAATTTCAAAGATTACAAAAATCAACATGAAAAATTAACAAACCATTAGCATAGTCTAAAATTTGTTGAGACAGTACAATCATTCTCTTTTATTTCATTCGATCGTGTATGTCTATGAAACTACAATGATTTTTACTCATCCGATGTCTATACAATTGAACATCTTTTCTCTTTCGTTCTCTATATTTGATGACTAGCGGTAAGCACAAGAACAAAAAAAAAAGAAGAGAAAAGACAGCCTATGAATGGATGACCCATTGAAATATGAATATAAGAGAAAGAGAAAAAAAATAAAGAGATCGGTCAATGAGACTAGCACATGTCATCAGATTGTTGAACTCTATAAAAAGTACCATTACTATGATTCGGCAAGAGGACAAACATTGATGCACGAGATTCTTTTGTTTCTTTTCCTATATGAACACACACAAAAAAAAAAAAAGAACTTGGTCAAGGATCAATTTATGATCAACAAATGTCTGAGTGTATATTTGTTACAAATTATTCTTTTGAGAAAAGAAGAAAAAAAAAGGAATGAAAAATCGATTGTAAAAAGTCATCATCATCAACAACATTGTCATCCCTTTCAAATGAGTTCCTATTATTACATAATGTAGATCAGTAAGAAACAAAGAAAAGGAAAATCATACTTCACTACATTTTTATTTGTATTTAATCATTGAGTGCTTGGTTGACTGACAAACACATGCATTCGAAAGAGCATAGAGGAAAGATCATTTTCCTCTTAGAAATAAAAGAAGGAATAAGGGAGCATAAGAGCGAGCGAGCAAGAACAATAGGTACCATTTTATATGAACGACGTAATACCACTCATTCATAACCATACAATGAAGACACTGATTGATCTAAGAGCTAATCAAGAAATCGATACATCCAACAATTTATTAGAGAAAAAAAATAGAAAATATTTGATTATACTTTTCAAGCATTGATAAATTTAAATCAAAAAGGGAAAGGGCCAGAAATCTTTCTATTGCTATAATTAATAGAAAATTATTATTATTATTATTATTTGTTTTTAATGATCATCTATTTGATAAAACTATTTAAAAGTATTCAGGGTCAATAATAATATATCTATGTATATCAACTTACCTTTTGATAATGTTCGAACACTTTCATCATTAAAACAACTGTTGTTGTTATTATTATAATGATTATATGTTATATCATGAATAGGATTTCCACTTGTACGCAAATTATTTTCTGATCCTGCTGTCATTTTTTTGATTGATTGATGTTGACTATTTGGTGTAATAATTAACAATTTATTTGTCGAGTTGACAGGTAATTGTAATGTTCGATAAGTATCATGATGTGAATGTTGATGATGTCGAAGCATTCCTGTCTTCGATGATGTCGTTATTATACTTGACGAACGTGGGATACGTGAAGGAAGTAAGGTTGATGATGAATGACAATGTTTCAATTTTTTCTTTATAGATGAAGGGACAACGATATTAGTTGATCTGACATTGCAATTATGCGATGACGCGTCTTCGTCATTGTTGTCTTCTTCATCTCGTCGTTGTTGATTGTCATCAATGTTGTTCTCATTTATTTCTTCTTGCTCTTCATCATGTCCTTGGTATGATGATAATAAAGAACAATGTGTTAGAACCGTCGTAGTTATTATAGGTTGATTAGAAGAAATATTCAACAACATCTGATTAGCATCATTCGTTGATCCATTGCCTATATAGAAATATATAAGAAAATGAACGACTACAAATATTATCGACAATGAAAATAAGGTCTCATAGAAAGGAATAGAAAAAAAAAAGATCAATCTCATCCATAAAACATAAGCTTTCTTTTCTATTATATGGCATCATTGCATCTGATGCGCACGTTCACATATAACTATGCATACATATAAAGATGAAAGAGATAAATAAGTTCGTCTGCGACGTTTGTCAACACCTTCTACTGTTATTCCTCCCCATCATCTTGCATAATCATATGTCGAGTAACAGCAGTCTCTCAAGGCGATGAGACGACGTACAAATAGAAAAATGAAGGTCTCTACAGGAGGCTAATAGAAGTTGTTTATACCTATGATTGTATTTTCCGAAACTAATGATAACGATTCGTCAATGGATGGTGTTATTGAAGAATCTAACAATCGATCATTTGATATGGAAGATGTTGAACCATCAATTTGATCAGATATATTCTATAAAGGCAATAATAATAATAATAATAATAATAATAATTCTTCATGAAGAAAATCAAATATGACAAGTATTAACATACATTTTCTTCTGATGACGCATGATTTATTGTTTGTTCATTATCATTTATTGATGGAAGATTATTATCTAAAGAAAATTTCAAATTCGAAAATCTATCATTACAATTCGTATTAATTCCTAGATTATGATTATTCTCATTAAATTATATCAACATGAGTTAAAATTTATTTTCCATTGAATAAATCTCCAGAGAAAGATTATTCTTATGTATCAATACTTCTTTAAAACAGATGATGAACATCTGTAATATAACAATAGAAGACTTATAATTGAAAGAAAGAACGAAAGATTATTGCCTTAAGATTAATTTCATTATGTTCATTACCGTTAGCTACAATAGTTTCTTGTTCTGATTGATTAACATTTGCTATTGGATTAACATCCGTTAATGGTCTTTGTATTGTTGGTGATTCAGCTAGAATTTTACTTCTTGAGAAATTTTCAAAAACAATAAATATATGTAACTAACCTCTAACATATGCAGCATTAAACATTAAACATCCACTAACATGATCAGAATAATTACGTCGTTGAAGATTAAAAACAAAAGTTGCTGTACTGAAAAAAACAAAAATTTGTATTTATATTTTTTTTTTTATTAAAACAATATCAAAAGGAAAATGTCATACTTTTTATTTAATTTATCAAGTAAAAATCCCACATGAATAGTTAATTTTCCAAGAAAACGATTCATTGTTGGTCGTGTTTTAACAAATTTATCTTTTACTTCAAACTCCAATAAATCTGTCTGAAATGTTTGAAATATAAATGATTGATTATACCATTTTGGATGACACTAAAATTAAACATAAAATAAGATTCATAGTTTCTTTTTCTTTCTTTCTTTCTAAAAGTTTACGGTATTCGGAATGACATTTGTTCGTTTTTCTTGATTATGAAAATGAGACGATGTTCGTAATTGTTTATGAAGATGACCTGCTATTAATGATACTTTTATATATGGATCAGGTTTAAAAAGTACACCACGATGTAAATTTGTTGCATGAAGATCTTAAAAAAAAAAGTAAAAAGATTGAAAAATATAATAAGGTTTTTTTTCCTCATTTTACCATAAATTTTTATTGATATAGGTCGTGCAATATTAATCATATTTGGTATATCATTATTATCATGAATAAATGGTATTAAAGATGATTGAGCTTTTATTTCACCAGTAGTTAAATTATAATATTGAAAATAAACAGTATCAACTAAACAAAAAAAAAAATCAAATTGAAATAATAATTCTTTTTCTTTTTTATTTATTAATTTACCATTAGCTAATTTATTTATCATTGTTTGTGTACAATGCCAATGATATTGCCCAATTTTTAAAGCATTTAAATTTGTATAAACATTTTCGATAACGTCATTAAATGTTAATTTATCTTGACAAGGTTAAAAAGAATAAAATGTTATTCAGTTTATTTTATAGTTCTATATATGGGGTTGGCCAGTCTGGCCGGGTACCCCAATTCTTTTTATCATCAAAGTGCTTCTATAATATATCAAATAGAAGTATTTTTTTACTAGTTATAGTACTCGTGCAGTGCTAACGATCTGCCACGGACTAACGGTCTGTAACATGTTCGAAATTAAAATAATCAAGTGTCTTCAGGAATATGTTCATAAATACCAACGGATTTTCTGAAGGCACTTGATTATTTTAGTTTCGAACATGTTATAGACTGTTCATCCTTGGCAGATCGTTAACACTGCATGAGTACTATAACTGGTAAAATAATCACTTCTATTTGATACATTATAGCAGTACTTTGATGATAAAAAGAATTGGGGTACCCGGCCAGACTGGCCAACCCCATATATATATATATACCTGGTAAAAATATCCCGATTGTATCATTTGATGCTATTACGTTATCATAAATATTCCATGTAAGTGTAACTATAGTTGATGGTGACAAATATATTTGTTCAGGTGATATTGTTAAAATTGATTTATTTAGATTTGAAGGATATAACGGTGAAAATGATGAAATACAATCATGATTTAATGAATGATGTTGTTGTTCAGATGATGGCATGACAAATGTTAATTGGATTGAAACTATTCAATAGTAATATTAATAAGAAAAAAATTCATTTGATCGAGTAGAATGCAAGGTCGATTTAATGATGGAATATACATTTGAGGCTAAAAGCAGATATAGAAGCATTACAGTACAAATGAAATACGATCCGATTATGAGAGACGAATAGACTAAGAATACTCGTAAAATTCAAATTTAACTCGTTTCGCCTGTGTGTTCTGTTTCTACTCGATCATCCAACCTTGAAAAACCTCGATGAAGTAATACTAAACGGACAAGTAATCAAATAAATGTTTCATAGAGGTCGTTATCAATTGGTCTCATCTAAAGTGAACGAATAATCATGATTATACAGTTTAATTAATGTAATTTTACAAACAATTTGGATTTTTCAACTTTTTTTTTTTGTTGATTGAGTGCGATTATTATCAGCACTAAAGACGTCATATGTAACCTTAAATTCTCAATGATTATAAAATGAAAAATGACACTTTGAAAGTGAATTATAACAAAAAGAAATTCACTTTAATCTAAGAAATAAAATAATTCATAAGCATAAATATATATACGTACAAATGGGTGTAGTTTTGATCAGATCTGGCAATAGATCACTTTTTCTGGCTTGGCGGTCTATAGGATGAACCAAGCTCACTGATGTATCTGCTTTTCTTTTATTCCACTAAGTGTTCTGATAGTGGCAGAACTAGAAAAAACTTTGTAGGAGAAACTTAGTCTCCGTTTTGAAGCTGCAAAGGAGATATTTTTTTCGGCTATAATATAGAATGATCTTATATTTCTAGAGGAAGCTCAAAGGTTTCTGGAGGTGATCGAGCCATCCTCTCCCCCCTGGCTTCATCACTATTCTATAACCTTATTATAATATATCATTTAATTTGCAGTTATGTACTTGATTTATCTTTATGAAGATGGTATAACGACAAGATCATGAATAAAATAGCGAATTAAAACAAAGTGATAAAGTATATATATGTGTATAGTTCTTTTTCGTTAGTCAAAATACTAAAACATTTTATTAAGACTTGTATTGACATTATGATTGTTGTATAATATGTTATATAAAGATAAGAAATATGAGAACTTTGTTTTGTCAAACAATGATCATTGTTTTTGTTTCAATGATTAGCATGTCGATTGCTTATGATTGTTTGAAAGTTATCTAATCGAAAATATTGTTGCATAGTCATATGTAATTTAAATATTGTATGTTGTAAAAATCAAATGAATTTTTTCATATGTTCCATGAACGATAGTGAAACCGATTAATATATAAAAATAATGACGAATTATTAATACAAACAGAATAAACAAAAAAAAATGCAGTAATCTAAACAAAAATGTAAACGAAAGTCAAAAGCGTAACTTGACATTGAAAACATTGACGGTAAGCGTTGTATTGACGAGTTTCAGAAGCAGAAGGGAACAGCATCACGTTTTTGACAAAACTTATTAAAATACATATAGAAAGTATATATGAAGAGATTGTTGATATTCTTTTCTTGATGAATAATTTGAAAAGACTTATTAATTCCTAATCTTGAAAAAATTTCGTTTTTTCTTCCGCAGATTTTCAAAGTTCTTTAGTAAAAATCTTCCAATCAGTCTTCTAAGTCATTTAATCCCTCCTCCAATCCTGAACACCTCGAAACATTTCTGAATATAATTATTATTTAATCTTCTAGTTATTTTTATATATTAATCGGTTTCACTATCGTTCATGGAACATATGAAAAAATTCATTTGATTTTTACAACATACAATATTTAAATTACATATGACTATGCAACAATATTTTCGATTAGATAACTTTCAAACAATCATAAGCAATCGACATGCTAATCATTGAAACAAAAACAATGATCATTGTTTGACAAAACAAAGTTCTCATANTAATAAGCAAAAGTTGCACATTGCCTCTAGCTACCATGAACCAAAGAGAAAGCCGGAAAGTCATGATGATAAAAGCGTATATTTAACTACTAAAAGACCATATAGCTGTTCAATGAGCCTCCGATTGAAAGACGAAGCCATAACTTGCTAATATTCCGGGATCAATTATGTTATTCGAGAAAAAAAAACAGCTTTTTCCGGGATCATTTGTGTTATTATATAGTTAATTAAAAACGATTAGAAAAACAGTATCATATGTGCATTTTTTTGCGAAAATTAATAACCGGGATCAATTGTGCTTAATTTCCGGGATCAAAAATGTAAGTGTCCGTATAAGAATATCAAAATAATTTATCTTTATCTAATCAATATTTGCTTTGTGAGAGATAGGTTTTACTCAAATACTTTCATTAATAATATTTATCGTTGAAAATGAGTTCTGTAGAGATTTGAAAATAAAGACATGACTTGCAGGAGAATACAAGTATCACTTTGTAAAGTCTTCAATTAATATTTTTTGATTCATCAAGGAAGAAGTTTATAGTATAAAATAAATGATGAAGATACTATATGAGAGACTTTGAATGAAAATTATATAAAATTGATTTATAGAAAAGAAGAAGTGAATAGAATATTTTAATTCATAGAAATATTATTCAATGTTTATTTAGATGGAAGTTTTTTAATTCGAATTTTCAAAAATCAACTATCATCATTTGTTATTCATATTGATAAATGTCAAGAGCCGAGTTCAATCAAAGATATAAATATATTTCTCTATACACAATTCTTTACTGTGTTCAAGAATTTATAACGTTTGAGTTTCAGTGTATCTGCTGCTTTTAATTATTATCAGTTAACATTTGGTGTACCACCACCAAATATTTACTTAATGGACGCTTCAATCGACTTAATATGTTCTCTGTTACTATTTGTTCATCTGATGGTGCTACGTTATCAGTGATCAATAATGAAGTAAGTTAGTCATATTAATATCTTTTTCTTTGAATGAAACAATGAATGAATAATATTTACATTGACTAACTGTCGTTTTGTTTTGTAGAAAAAACTTTCCAATTTGAAATGCTTTCAGTTAATTCTAACATCGGTGTTATTGATCTACAATACTTTTCTTATTCCACTTTTACATCGAATGTCAAGCTTAGAAGAACTTTGTTTAGATTTTGTCAATCGTAATACACCAATTATTGATGGTAATGATTTGTAGATGAATATTATCAATAATGTGAGAAAATTAAAAAAATTCAAATTTAATATTCGTTCAGTTATTCCTTTTAATAATCAACTTAATTTACCATCAAGTGAAGATATTCAAAAAACATTTAAAAATTTTCAAAGCAATCAAGTTATTTCATTTATTGATTATTTTCCAAAGGCAAATGAATTTCATTGTTATATTTATTCATATCCATATATATGGACAGATTATAATAATATAACAAATAATTTTCGTGGTGGATTATTTGAATCTGTTCTTAAAATCTCATTAGTTGATGAACGTCCTTTCGAATATGAATTTTTTCTTCAAATTGCTAAATCATTTCCATTTATCCAACAACTACATGTACATAATCGAGAACAACAAAAGAATGACACTCAACAATGGTCAATCATTGAATATTCTCATCTTACTCACATTAATCTTGTGCAAACTCATGAAAATTATTTGGAACAATTTTTGAATAATACTAAAATGTCTTTATTAAATAGTATTAATCTTCGTGTAGATTATAATGCTTTACAAAGAGTAATAGACAATTTTACAAGTGATGTCACACGAATGAATTGTTCCAAAATCGAATGTCTAATTTTATACAACGAACCAGAAATATCTCTAGATTTGAAAGACTATTTTTCTCATGCAAAAATCTGGTGATTATTGTTTATTATTTGAATAAAATTTGAAACATGAATGAAACCATGTTATTTCATGTTTTATAGGAAAAAAAATAAACTTATTATATCTTTGAAATAGATATAAGATATGAGTTATGTCAGTAAGAAATAAGCTACTTTACAAGAGAGGAGTAAAATTTACCTAGAATGATAATTGTTGATCTAATTAAGTGTTATTGTAAGTTATATCAACTAAATAAAACCTCTTGTTTTTACTTTGAAAATCTATTAAATATTCGTGTTATCTGGACTGGAAGAATAAGTTCTAGAAATGGGAATTGACCTGTATTCATCCGTTTGTCTGCTTCTAACATAGTCGAGAATACAGTGTCCTGTAGGTTATAAAGGTAAATTGTATAAACAAAATCTTATATGCATCTGTTGTCTGTCTATTCTTCATTAATATGATTCAGAATGACTGTACTGTATTCTTTAAATTAAAAATGGGTCTTCACTCAACTGTTTAACAAGATTTGTTTGACTGATTAGTCATGTATACTTATTACTGTCTAGACAAAGAATTAATCGTTAAAAACTATTTCGTCATTTTGAAGATAGAATTATACAGAACAAAATTCATATGTCATGAATAATAACGTTTATTTTTTTAATACAGATGCCATGAGAAAACTAAGGATGTTCATATATCAGAAAAGATATGGATCAGTAGATTTTGAATCTGAGTGTAGAGAAAGCCAGATCTATGGTGTACCATATATGAATCTAAAATATTAAAGTCTAAAGATTTATCTCCGATCTGCTAGGGCAAACTGACCAAAACACCCTAAAAAATATCTATAAAAAGTGCCAAAAATTCAACTTTTCTTTCTTTGTGAACTTTTTTCTTCAAATTTATTCACTGTTCCGATAGACTTATATCAATCGAAAGAGCTTGACTTGTTCTACAAAACAGTATATATGAGGGTGTGGGAGTTTATATACATCCAACAGATCTGTTTGTCATCTGATAATTGAAATTGTCCGTTTTGATATATCTGTATTCAACTGGTAACTGTCCAGATTGGTCGTGAAACGATTATCAATGTTCAATAATCTTAAATATGAAACAGTTGGTTTCATCACCTTTTTTTGATGTTAACTTCGTACAATATTTCACACTGTTCAATGATTAAACGAAAATTTTTGTACCAAGTGATTTTGTTCGATCTTATTCTGCAGAAATATGAAAGATGTAAAGGTATTCGCGTGCGATTGTCTATAGTTTTCACCTATAAAATGGCTATGAAATTTAACTTCTTTTATGTGTCATGCTACATAATATATATCAATAACATTAGAATCACCACAAAACAATGCGTGATATTCTGATCATAAGAAATATGTAAAGAACTTTTAGAAAATTGATAATAATATATACATCAAATGAATGGTATGATGTGCACGAGGTAAAGGAAAAAGTTGTTGTAAAGTAACAAGATTAGGTATGCACCAAAACTAAAACTAGTTTTGAAGTTTTGATATGGTTTTGGTTTTGAAATATTTGGAAAAAAAACAATTTAACAATAATAAATCCACACGATGCATCTGTAAACTTTAATATTGTTGTCCTCTTTAAATAAGATTTTGACAGAAATTTAAATAAATAATTATTTTCTTGCAATCTAGTTCATAGAACACAATTATAAAATATGAAATAAGTATTTTCTGAGAAACGATTATAGTACGATTCTTAGTATGAGTCAGTCTTTTCCATATATGTTTTTTAAAGAAATTTCCTAAATTCTGTTCTAAACAGCTTTTCGGTATCGTTTTTCTTTGTGAATGTACTTTTTGTTAGGAACATGTAAAGCTAGCAAACATGAATCATTCTGCTTCTATTCCAATCACAATGTCTATTCATATGTATAATTAATTACAAACGCAGCGTATATATATATATAACGAATGTTTTTAAGTTTCTACTGGAAAATCTATTTTAAAAATTTTTGTTGGAGACTTGAAAGTATGCCTTCAAGAAAATTATTAACATTTTGGCTCGGCTTTTTATACTGTTTTCAATGATGCAGTGTTTATTGAATCGACACGAGATCGAAAATTTCGAACCAGTTGATATGTTGCTAGAATTATTTTCCACAGGCAATTCTTTTCTATAAATACAATCGAATATATTCTCATCTAATATGCTTAATATCTGAATAGAATGAAGCCGAATAAAGCTGAAATTTTCAGAATAAACTAAAACCTCTCTAATGTGAGCATCATTAGAACTGACCAAAAGTACTCAAATGACGAAAGTGCTCATTATTGGGAGGTTGTGCAATTGTTTTTTTTTCAAATGATAAGTATTCACTTGCAATTGCTTTTCGACTGCATAGGCTAGTCTTTTTCTTCTTTTCAATAATTTATTAATTCAATTTTTTTAAGCAAAAGTGCATCAATATGTATTCGCATGATTTGATGTTACTAGCTGTCAACAAAAAATGATAAAATCCTTCGCCACGCCCTACTATTATGGTCTAGCAATTTTTTTTCTTCTTAATACGCAAGGTTGCTCCATCTCTTTTTTACATAACCGGTGGTCGAAAAGTATTTTGACAAAATGTTTATTAATTTTTGACCCGCCCAAAAGTATTTTCAACGAGTCAAAACTATAGGTTAGGACCAGTATTTTGTGCTCCTTTTGAAATATGACCCTAAAAATGTGTTGTCTGTCCTTGTTCGAAAGTAGTGAGAGAATCTTTAATAGACTTAAACAATTAGTTTGGACTACGAACAAACAAGTTTTGCTAACGCAAAGAAGTCCCTTTGAGAAGATGCTAAAAATTCTCGGACTCCATAGTTTTGTAGAGCAAACAATTCTTTGCAAAATGTGCTATTGAACTAAGCTGTAGCTTTTACATAAGAGCTTCTTTCCACGTAAGACGCTTTTGGTCAAAACTACAATTTTTTAAAAATGACGATTTAGGAAAAACGGAAATTCAGAAACCTTGTTCAAAGACAAAAAACTCAAATAGCTCATTTCATAGGATAGGTTTTGCTGTACAAACTAGTATTTTATAATAAGAGTTCCAATTTGTAGTTTCGAATCGCAACAGCAAAAATACAAAAATGTGCGGAAAAAATTTCTGTCCAAACTAATTTTTTGGACTTTTCAAAGATTATTTCATTACTCTCGAACAGAAATCGACCCAGCATTTCTAAGTCCATATTCAAAAAGAGCACAAAGTTCTGGTTCGAACGCATAGATTTTGACTCATCAGAAATACTTTCGGGTGGGTTAAAAATGAACAAACATTTTGTCAAAATACTTTTCGACCATCCGATATATGTTGCTTCTTTGTTTATCATGATGCAATACACGTAATATCATTTTTTCTCTTGTTCTGCACGTGAGTGATATAACGTACGCTGCTGACATTGTGGAGATTATTAGTACTCAGGGAACTAGAAATACGCACTCACTATTTCGAATGCGGAGATACTCACAATATGGAGGCTTCTTTCCAACAAAATTCATTCTAATGGACACTGGACCGCTTAGTATAAAGAAGTGCTCACACAGAAAGACTTTTACTGTATATTGAAGTAAAGTAGTCCTATACATCTTGAAAGTTGCATTAAACTTGAAGATTCGTTTATAATTTTATAATTGACATACAGGCGATGACAGAATCATCAAAAGTGAATATCTAATCTGATCCCTGTATAAAGAACAGAAAAAGTTGGTTCAACTAAAACTACGAAGGAAAAACTTTCTGTAGGGAAGTTGCAGCTTAGCTGACTTGCTATATATAAGAAAAAACAAAGCTAGAGAAGTATAATACAATGGCTTTTAAGAAAGGAAATGGCTGCTTAATGGAATTATATGTTGAGAATTAGTAATGTTTTCCGGATAGTTTATTTCTTCAGAATAAACAAACTACTTAGTATCATTTGTCAAAAACCAATCATAAAAAAGACATTTTCATTATCTTTCTGATAGCGTAACAGTTCTGTTATGAGAGCATGAAGTGCACGTATGGCATTACTATACATCTTCAAAATCGAGTATTTTTGGTTCCGACCACCCGGATGAGGACCGGAACTGGCCCTGCACACGTCTACGTATCACCATTAAAATGCTGTCATCAATCATGGTAAGGAAAATAATTCTGAACTGTCATAAACTAACTTCAGAATTAGGCAGTGAGGTTCTAGAATCTCTTTGCCAATCTAAACATATATCTGAAATAGAAATATAAGAGAAAACGATATTTCTATGTTTCTGTTCAAAGTAACTTCCCAGATTATAAAGATCTGACTATAAGATCTTGTACAATTTCATACGCCAATCTTAAACCCAGCATTTCTGATGAAAATTTTTAGTACGATTCTTGTATGCTCTTATTTTAAGATCTCCTAAAATATTTTTGATATTCATCTAAGCTTTTTTGCTTACTTCGAGTGTATATTAGTTGAATTTCTTTCTCTGTTATCTCCTTCCTCACCCCCGGTCACCACCACCATATCATCCTGTGTTCTCTCTACCCAGCTCTTTTTCAGGAAAACCAAGGAAACTATTCACTCACTTGAATTATAATTTACCCTTGACCATATTGTTGAGTTCAATCTAAATGAGAAAAAATGATTTATTTTATAAAACTTATGTTTACCCTTTCACGACGCTATTCAGATCAATCTCAATGCAAAGAACATTTATTTAACAAATTTATACTTCTTGAAGATGTTATTCATCATTAACTAAATAAAAAAAAGTATCTATTTTGTAAGATTCATATTTAACTTTTGACGACATTGTTGAGATCAATCTGAACAGAAAAAAAAGTATTTTTTTAATAAAATTTACACTTACATTTTAACGTCATTATTCAGATTAATCTAAATAAAAAAATTATTCGTTTATATAAATATCATACTTACCCTTGAGTGTGTAAGTTCGATCTAATTTAAAAATTAATTTACTTATTGAAATTGTAGTTACTCTTGACCATGTTACTGCACCTAATTGATCGGTCAAATGAATTGAATCAGAGTATGAGTACTATATAATACATTTATTTTTGATTGCAAAAACGTATCGTTAAAATCATATGATATTTAACCGCTCAAACATTTATTTAAGTGCATAAAAATGAGATTAAATAGATTTTTGCATAAGGAAAACATAAAATTATGATCGTATAAGATCACATATGACCTTGGAAGATTCTGATCATTAGACTTTGTAAAACACTTATAACAAGAATTTTGTAAATTTCGTCCTAACATCTTATAGCAAGAAATATATTGAATGTTAGAGCAAAATATTTATATTCTTTCGTAAGGTCATACAGTATGAATCTTACAATATTGGATTGCCATTAGGATCTTGTAAAACCGTATGCGATCTTCGCAAGACTTTTCCACTTGGGATGTTTAAAGAGTCCGCTTCAAGAAGTTTTAGAAAATGTGATTGGGTTTCATACAAAGCATATTTGTTTGTATGAAAAAAATTAGAAAATAAAAAAATTATAACGAATATTGATTTTGACCGATTCTGAATGATTTGCCTTTAATAGTCTTTTTTTCTCTACAATATAGCATTGCTCTATAAGATGGTAACTTTCGTTTTGCTTAATTTTATAGTTTAATTTCGCCCAGATTAATGGATCGTTACGTAGGTGTATCAAACACATGATGTAAACAATGATTTTTTTTCTATATTACATTAGCTTTATATAATGAGTTGATAAGATTTGATTGTCATTATCTTCTTGTTTGCTTATCAAATAACCAAAACAATATTTTTAGAAATAAATAGCGTAGAAAATATAAGTACTGAATAATCTGAAATAGTGATAAATATTTCCGAAGAGTAAAGATACTTTTATAGTCCTCCAGCAAATGAAGATACTTGATATGTTTTATTAGAAATGTCACACATGCGCAGCTTAATCCTTGAGTACAAGAGAAAAGTCTATTCCATTATTTATCTGTATGGATCACTTATAAACAGCTTTGTTCATGGCCAATCCATCATGCAGTATATGTTTGCCATCTGTATTGATGATTCATTACGAGTGTTCAAGTCGGATGTAACCGTTGTCACTTAAAGAATAGATCTCTCACGATTTTTTCCAATAACTTTATTAATTTTCATTAGCCAGACTCTTGGTTTTTTTTTATGAACGAATATCCCATTTAATTTTCTATAAATCTGTATAAAAGATTTTAAAATCAAAGATTATCAGAAAATATAATGGACTCGAGACTGATATATAGTGGCTTAAAATATTTTGTTTAAAATTATTACAAATTTTGCAAACAAAAAGAAATTGATAATCTATATTTTATGAGTAATTTTCAGTCACCAACAGCTAACGGCTTGAGGTCTTTGCTGTTTTAATGAACAATTTGAGACGTATATAAGCGCATATAGGGTGCCTAATATTGACAGAATTCTACATAGTTTATATCAAATTAAAACCATGATTTGAGACACTGCTTTCAAAACTTTCATTGCCACATGCGCCCAGATTACACTCAAATAAAACCAAAATAACTTCTGATCATGATGAATTTTTCCGATTGCTATACCGTTCGAAAAACATAAACACTTTTTTGTACTTATTTGAGTGTCATATAGGCGTACATGGTAATAAAAGTTGTGAAAGCCGTGTCTCAAACAATGATTTTTATGTGATATAAGTCATGAATAATTCTATCTGTCTTAATTAGCCTAGACACTCACATCTGTCTCAGATTATATATTAAAACAGCACAGGCCTCAGGGTATTAGTTGTCGACAGCTGAGAGTTACTCATAAAATATAGATGATTGATTTCTTTTTTGCAAAAATTTGTAAATAGCTTTGAAATGTCACCATTGCAAAAATATTCTAAGATTCTTAAGAATAGTTCGTTATTTCATTCGAACTAAACTTAATATTTCTCGTAGGTATATTTACTGGTTAAGCTCTCGTTTTATACAATAATGACCCAAAACTTTTAGTACTTATATAATAAAAAAGCTTAGGTATTAACGACATTTAGCAGATACGTATATAAAATTTAATTTGAATGGAATAGAGAGCCATTTATTTAGTGTCTCAGCATTTTTTGCGAGGACTATATTCCCTTTAATTCACTATATATTAATCTCGAACCCATAATATGTTATGATAACTTTTGATTTTAAAATCTTTTATAAAAATTTGTAGAGAATCAAACAGGATAAAATCATGAAAAGTTTATTTTTCATATAGAATCTATTACATTAGTCTAAGTCTCATATATTAATTCTTAATTTAACTTGCTTATTTTTTCTATATTCATCTAAGAGCTTATATTTTAAATTTTGTATTTAAAATCCTTTGCGTGTGAAACACTTGTGATACTGTAAAAGACAGAGCAGAAAAAAAGAACAAGAATGTAAGAAATAAAAAAAAAAACGAGGAAGCACAAGTGAAACGCACATATATTACACATACATATACTAAAGCAAGATTTCTTGTAAAATTAAAGACAAACACATGCATAATCTTATAACATAATAAATCATATTGTGAGACTATAAAAACAAAAAAAAACAAAGGAAAATAAACGATAGAATTCGAGTCAACTTTTGTTATTTCTTGTCGATGTGTGGAATCGGTTTCATCATTTAAACATATATCTCAAAAACAATACTTTTATTTTTCCAAATCTTTTCTAACTCGATAGCCACGATAAGCAGCCTAATTACAATAAATAAACGAAGAATTGTAAAATTTTTCATGAAGATTTTTTTTATTACTTGAATTTTAACAGCAGCTGCATTATCATCATGATCTTCATGATCTTCATGTTCTGGTACTTTATTACCTTCAGCTGATGGTGATAAAACTAAACCAAGAATATAAAATGATATATAAACAAATGAGACATACTATGTTTATTATGACCATTATTATATTCTTTATGTGTTGGTGAAGAAGATGATGATGAATGATGTTGATCATGGCCAGTTTGTGAATGACCACCAACGGAACCTAGTTCTTTTCGAGTTTTATAACCACGATATGATGCTTGAATACGTGTAGCTGCTTTATCAAGATTTGAATCACTCATATCGTCTTCGTTGTTAAAAAATTCTTCTTGATGTTCTCGATTATAATTTATATCACGTAATACGCCTGTATGTCGTTCAAAATCGTCACTTAATTGTGTTGGTTCACGTTCAAGATATGGTCGATCAATATTTTCGTTTTTGCCTAAAATAATTAATTTTAAAAACATAATAAATCAAATAATGTACTCATATATTTGTTGATAATCAACAACATTTACTAGTTCTTCTGTTAATACTTATTTCTTTACCTCTAATCTTCAGATGTTTGTCAAAGAATTGCTTTCTATGTGTGTGTGTTTTTTCCTAGTGATTGCGGTTGATTAATTTTTTTTTCTCTCCGCGCTATAGATAATGACCTTTCTACTTCGACTTGTAGGCACATCATCTGATTTGTCCGGACGTCATTTCTAACCTCTTGAAGCTTTCCTATCTAACATAAATCGGTAGAATTCATCTGATCGATTATGGACCATTGAGATCCCTACGTACTAATACTGTCAAATGCCAACGATATCTTGTGCTTTATAGGCAGATTTTCTTCAACAACAAAGCGAATGTCAGATATAGTCTGGTGTTTTAACGCTATGTATGACGTCGACGATCAATGCTGAAAACAGTTTCTTTTATAGATATTTATACAGACGAAGAACTGTATAGTGCCGTTTTTTTTTTTGTTCTTTCTCTCATTTTTTCCCGGTGCAACTAACGATGTCTCAATATTACTGGAAAGAATGAAAGCATTTCTGCATCATGTGTAATTGCCTTGATGACAAAATATTAGCGTAATACGAAACCACTGCACACTCTAAATAATCAAGCTGAAAAATGGGTACAATATTGATTAACAGATGAGAATAAAACAAAAGATTGCTAAAATAATATCCGTCTAGAAGCGATAATAAAGACGAAAATACATCAAAATTATTTTTTTCATCTGGATAAGAAAAATGAGATGTTTTTGTTTATGGTGAAAATTAAAATATTCAGTTTAAAACATTCATTTTCATCGTAGTATAATCATTTATTAGTTCATATAGTGTTTACATGATATGTGAAGACTATGCAGAGACTTACCTATCAAAACTTTGCCGTTGAAGTATGAACAGATGTATACACTCGTATACTCGTATGATTTTCTGAAGAGGCAATTCTTTTTCTTTTTCTTGTCTATCTATCCGTCTGTCTGTTGATAGAATGCAAAGAATATAAACAACATTCGTTGTAGTTGTATCCTGCTGATATTCTTCCTCTTTTTTTCTTTTCTTCCATCAATAAGCTATGCTGTTGTGTTGCTAGAAAATGTTTCCCTATCCATATATCATTCTTCGATGATGCTTTTCTTTTTCAACAATAACAGCAGGAAAAAAGCTAACCTATAGACTTCTAGTACTGAACTGTTTCTTTATGTATATTGATACGGTGTTTTATCATGGCAATACAAAAACTAATGGAAAGGAACAACAACAAATATCATTTCGCTTAATGAAAAAGAATAATATAAAGCAAATGATATACATATATATATATATATACATATATATATATATATACTTACCCATTTCAATCTCATTATGTAATCTGAGATTTTCATCAAGATCACGACGATCACTAGAATGAGTTGATGATAGTACGGATGTTTTGTCATGATCATTGTCATAGTCCTAAAAATAAAAATATGATTAATTTATAAAACGAATGACTAATCAAAGTCTGAAAAGCAAAGAAAAAGAAAATAAATCATCCATTTGTTTTCAATTGATTTAACAATAATCATACAGGAAAATACTGTTATCAAAATAGTATTAATCAAGCAATGATCATCTTTATATATAAATAAATCTTCATCATTCTTTTTTTATATTTTAAGATTCGTACAAGAATGAATTTATTTCTAATAGAAAAATACCTGTTGTTCTTTATGATCAGTGGGCTTTTCTTCATCCATAGGATCAAATGTTTCTCGTAGATTTTTTCGAACTTGAAAACCACGAAATTGTGCCTAAAATATTAAATTTATAATTCAAATAAATTTAGAAAAAAAACAAAAACAAACTTGAATAGATACAGCAGCATGTTCTTGTTTACGTTTTTCTTCATCCGTAAGTTCTTCATCATCAATACTCTACAAAAAAAAAATCATTTTTTTCTTTCAAATATATTTCGACAATGGATACATTTACTTCATCATATTTATTTTCTTGTTGTAAACGTGCACTTTCAAATGATGAGAATTTCTAAATAATGATTAATAAAAACTTCATTTGTTTTGTTTGATTTATTAAAGAAATACTTGATATTCATCGTTCCCTGCCATTAATTCTCCATGACCATAAGATGTTTCTTGTTGATCAGAATCAAACATTTGTTGATGCTAAAATGTTAATGATTTGTTATATAACGAAAAAAACCTAGATTTTCTACGAACTTCTTGTTTTGTTTTTTCTAAATCTTTTCTTGCTTTATGTCCACGAAATTGTGCTTGAATTTTTATTGCCGCATTGTTTACATCCGGATCATTAATCGGATAATCATCCTGAAAAATATTACAAGTTGTAGAACAGCATCATAATCCCAAAAGTCGCTTTACTCAGAACAAAAAAACTCAATATAATGACGATATTTTTACTCAAGAAGCTAATATTCTTATTATTGATAACAAAGTATTTATAGTTCATATTCATAAGAAACTATCAAGTATTATCATTGGCCTTCGTTACAGATAGTAACCGTAAACGAGCAATGGAAAATGAGATCATAGTTTTTCATTGTCTTATCGTTTACAGCTGGAACTTTTTGAATGTAGGCAATAAAAAGATATGAACATTTAGATATAAGTTTCAAAACAATACAAGAAAATGTATGAAAATTATTGAAAAAAAAAGAGATAATAGATGTGTCTTAGTTTTAGCGAAGGAAAAAATAGTTTTTTTTTCTAGAACTCATCAATAATTGGAATTCTTTATTAAAGTCAGTAATTAAATTTCAAAGAAGGATTTTTAATAATTGTCTTATGAATATGAAATATGTATACTTGTTTATTAACAATAAAATAATCAATTTATTTTATTGAATTATAATGATAATATTCAATTTTTTTGCTCGGTAAAGCGACGTTTGGATCACGTTATATTTATAATTAAATTAAAAAGAAAAACAAACTTGAAAACTTTGATTATTATAATAGCGATCTTCCAGAGCCGTTTCTTTGTCAGATGAAAATGTTTGTCCTCCGTGTTCTAAACGATGCATCATACACATTTAAAAGATGATATTTGTTTTTATGAAAGAATGAATTGTTGTCAAGTTTTATTCTAGTCGAATATATATTTAGAGCTGATTGAGTTTTTTTGAAAAGCTTTTCTTTTCAATAAAATTAATCGGCCAAAAAGCAGAATTAATTAAGAGTATTTCCTTTCATGCAAATTTTATTTTCAATAGTATTAAAAAGTTTTTCTATAAGCTTTTGTTTATGAACAATACTATCATCTCTTTCATGTTTAACGCAACAATGATCTTTTACTTTTCTAAAATATATACTAACTCTAATATTATTTCTTATTTTATATTCGAAACATATAATCAATAGTCATATAAGAGAATAGTCTATACGATAATTTCTTGTTCTAATTTGCGTGTGATTATTATCATTAAAAAATCGTATTGATAAAGTTTATTCATATAAAATCTTTGTTTTTTTTAAATACTGTGAAATTTCTTATTAATACTTTTTCTTTTGATAGATTATTAATATCGAAATGGAAATTCTGTCGCCCGTGTTCTTTTTTTTTTGTTTTAAAGTGTCATAGCACTTTTCCTCATCTGTATGAATGTCACATATACACACACATGCATTGGTAAACAAGACGAACAACAGAGAAGCGTTCAAATTGATTAATAACTATTGATAGGAATAAGCACATAAAGCAATAAAAAGAAAGCGTAATGTTCTATTTAATTTTATTTTGTATGTATAACGTCATTAAAACTATTCAATACTTGTTCTGCTTTACGTCGTATATCATCAGGTAAATCAGCCGGAATGTGATGTTCATTATTTGATATATGTATAACATTTTCGGATATATTTCTTGGTGTATTAGAATTCTCATTTGGAGATATTAATGATGACGAAGCATCAACAAAAACTTGTCGTACTGTTTTTGTTACTGTTACATTAACTATTTCATGTTCATTTGTTTCAGCATTTAATGAATTGAGATCAAGTGATGATCCCATTTTATCATAAAGTGCTTTTAAAAATGAATTATCCGACGACTGTGATGCTACATAAACAGTTATAATATTCATTAAACGGTTTTTTATTTTATTGTTATTATCACTATCAGGATGCTGATGTTGTTGAATATCAGTAAAACATTTCTCAAGATTTTCATCAACTATTGTGTTATCTGTTGAACTTCCAATAATACGTTTGTGTACATAATCGATAAGTTTTTGCTTTTCATCATTAATTGGAAGAATTTTCTCTCGAAGAAATGTATAAACTTCTTGTTTAAGTTTATCAATTGTTTCAGCATTTGAATAGGATACATTGGTTTCAAAATTTGTTTTAACGGTTGTTCGTTCATCATTTTCTTTATCATGATTAATCGGTATTGATTGTTCTGTTTGTAATGGTGGAGTAACTGTTGTCAGTTTTTCTTCTGAATCAATGAATGGAACATTAGCAAATTTATCAACATTAGTTGATGATGATTTTCGTTGTTGTTGTTGCTGTTGTTGTTGTTGTTGTTGTTGTTGTTGTTGTTGTTGTTGTACTTGTTCAACAATTGCATCTTTATTATTATTATTACCGGTATTGATCACATCATTTTTCAGGTATTTTTCCTTGTTTTTCTTGGTTTTTGATGCACATGCACCCATTTTCTTGTCGTTGACGTCTTACTCTTTTTTTTCTTCTTCTTTCTAGATCGTCTTAGTCGATGTTAGTAAATGTATGGAAGAAGCAGTAGATGCAATAGCAGCCGTAGCAATAATAAAAGAGTGTTTTGTCATTAAGGCTGTTCTTACTCTTCTTCTCTTTTTTCTTTCTTTCTCGCTGTCTCTCTTTCCCTTATATTCTCTATATTTAGTAGAAAAAAAAAAGAATGAGCAAACAAGAAAAATTATTTCTCGTGTATCAGATTGATGAACTTTTCCTTAACATGCAAGCTGTTGCCTGCTATGCATTCATAAGTCGAGGATGCTTGGCCGAGTAGAGAAAGAAAAAGAAAAGTAGTAATAAAAGTTTCTTTTTTTTTCATTTCAAAATAAATTACATATATATGCCTCAGGCTGAGTGGTATCAATTTCTTTTCGCTTCTCTCATTCTGTCGCTTTTTTGCTCGTTTCGTCTATGACTTTGATCCGCTATATATTAGGATTCTCATGAGGCATTAGTCATTCTTATTTTTTTATGCGGAGCTAATCTTTATATATAAGCATCTACATGCACATGAGCAGAAAACTAAAGTAGTCAAATGAGACTGCGTCACTTTTAGTTTATGCATATGCATGTTATCTGTACTTGGACAGTTGTATGAACCCTGATGATTGCTCTTATTTTTTTTTATTTTGTTTTTTTGCATTTCTTTCATCATATGAATAATTGATTGGGAGGGAAGGAAGACGCATAGCATCCGATAGACAAATACAAACAAACAACAAAATAGTTTCACATTGTATGTGCCTCTTTTCTTCTCATATGTGTCGTCGAGAATGATTTGATTAGAGACGCTATCACCATTATTACTAATAGATAATCATACATAAAACATACTAGTCAAATTCACTGTGTATGCACGAACAATGATAACACGTTGGCAGATGGTGAACTGTCATCAAACGGGAAATTCGATACACGCTAGACTTATAAAGTCACTGAGACAAAGAGAAAAAAAGAGAATGATAGAAGGATCAACATCAGTTGATGATGTTCACTATGATAATGCTTTCATCAACAGCGTGCATGCATACATCCGTTAATGGTTATCGACAAATCATTAACGCAATTCATCTGTCTTTCTACATGACAAGAGCTGTTATTCAAGCGAATGATATTGTACTTACGATTTTAATAAAAGATCTTCTATTGAATAAAGTCATTCCATATAAAAGATATTGTTATCGATTTTATTTTCATTTAACATTCTTTTACCAAATAATTTGTAGTCACAAAAGGAAATTTTCACCGTAAAACATTCACACGCGATTTAGTCATGCGAAAGAATCTAATACTTTTCAAGTTCAATGATTTACTTTTTGATACAACAATTAAAGAAAAACATAATGGAAGGTCATTTCGCAACGAAAAGCAATATTTTACAATTATATATGTAAATATATATATAAAGTAATAGAATTAATGGAAAATTATTTTTAAAATTATAATGATGTTGACTATAACTTCAAGATATCAAAAGCAAGATCTATTCTTACCTCTGCGTTGAAGTAATTTTTCAAAATATTCAGCAGCAAACTGAGGAATATTTCTTGGTTGACTTCGAAGAATTTCAGTTGATAAACCAACTAAAAGACTTTGAAAACCTTTTGGTATACGTAATTTCGTATTTGATAATGGCATAACCATGATTTAAGAAAAGAAATAATTTATAAATTTGTTTATACTGAATAAAACAGAAGACTATAAAAAAAATAAAAGTTTGATCTAAAACTAATCATTAAAGCGGTGTTTATCATAAGTAAAATCACTTGAGACAACTAACAGCGTAAGAAAAAGAACAAGAAAGAAGAAAATCTACACATATAGAACAAAAAAAAAACAGAAATCATGGCGTACTTAGATAAACCGGAGGAGGTGAACAGCAATGCAAATGGCTCAATGAAAAACTCCAATAGTGAAAAGGAACGAACAGAGGGCGCAATCATAATAGAATAACTTGTATTTATTTTTAACTAGATGCTTTCAAAATAAAACTATTTCGTTACTAAGACGATATAAATTTCTTTTACATTAAAATAAATATTTTGTTTTGATTTTATTCATTTATTTTTAATATTCTATATATTTGACTTAATATAATATGTGAGTAATCAAGCATATATTATCAAGAAGAAGAAATTCGAAACAAATATAATAATAAAGAACCAAAAAAGAAAAAGAAATCTTTTAATATAATGAGCACACAAGAAAAGACGATTACGACTGACAGTAATCATTCTTTTATGTCATGTAAGTGATCGACAAGATATATTAATATATATTATCCAATACGGAGAAAATTAAAAGAACTTTTGTTCCGTTTGAATCATTTATATCTTTTATGTTTTTCTTATTATAGCAAACGATAATTGGACAGTCGATTATTTCAAAGCACAAAAAATAGCGTCACCTAATTTCAC